TCACCCCGTACCCACCGACGCCCACTGGCACGTGGAGGGGGAATTCAGTCGCAGGTAGTGCTATCCTACTGGTCGCCATGCTAACACCACGGTCGGTATCACGGAAGGTTTGGGGAGGAGCGCGGAGAGCTGACAGGGAGGCAGAGGAAATCGGAAAGCGAAGGTGGAAAGGAGAAATGAGGGATGGAGTGGGACCCCCCATCAAGAAATGGGTCGTGGGCCGTCGGTCGGTCGCCTAGTATGCAGCTCGGCGGACGAGGCAGGTCGTCGTGGCCGAGGGCGAGCCTCTGGCTTCGGCCCGTACCGGGCATGCCCTCGAGGGCGGGGTTCGGAGGGGCGGAGGTGGGTGGTTTGTGTGGGCCGTGCGTGGGGGTGGTCGGGGTGGCGAGGGCGAGCCACGTGTCCCCTCTCGAGGGGCCAGCGATGTTGACGAGGGTGGGGTCGGGCCCTTTGAATTTCGCAACCAACCCGCCTGCCCGGCGAGGGCAGCCCGAGAGGGTTACTAGGGCCTCGCGGGCAACGCGAAGCGAATGTCCGCCTCCGTGAAGGGGTAACTAGGCCCCTCGTCGCTCACGCGCGAGTTCGCCACCCGTCGGCTGCAACGTGGGGTTCTGTAGGAATTCGGGGTGGGGGGGCCGGGGCGGGGGTCGTGGGCAGAGCCCCGCCCCGCGCCAGCCTGGCGGGGGACTCACGCGAGGGAGCTGGCCGCCCTGACGCTCGGTCGACCGTCACCCCCCCGCGTCGTCCCAGGCAAAAGGGGTGCGTCACCCTCAATTCCGATGAGCGATTCAGGGCAACAAATGGCTGTACCTGTGGTCCTATCCTCTGGTCCACTGGGCATATGGCCTAGTGGGTCAAGATGTCGGTTTCAGACGAAACCGAACTCGATATCTGTGTTCTCAGATGAAGAATTCTACACGTCTGGAAAAATCATACGAACCTAAAAGTCAAATCTTACTGATCAGATGAGAACAAACACAAAATCTTAGGATTAAGATGAATACTAAAAATCAAGTCTTAAACTCAGACCATCAGACCAAATTGGTCTGATAACGAGAACCCTGATTACAATCGGCAGAACGAGATATACAGTTTGGTGTAAAACAAATATATCTTCTTTTTGCCATTTTATAAGCGCCGGCGCTTATAAAATTCCTCAATTATAAGCGCACCCCCTAAAAAACAGTGTTTTTTTTATAACCCCAGGGGCGCTTCTATCCGGGGGCTGACGGTATGGCTCTTCTTGGCTTAGGCTCATTTATATATTCAATATTATTGTGTGTTAAGAAATTTATGCACTTCTCCGAGTCAGAACTGTGGTTGAGGGAATGAAGGCAAGAACAAGCTAGTGCCTGACTTAACAGTACGGAAAAAAAACTCTGAAGACACCATAAATATGCACAAACTCATCATACTTGTGATAAAGGTGATGCAATCAAGGATGCCAGCACTAGGAGGTGATTTGCCAAATAGCGCACACTACATCTTATTTCTGTCTTGGAGCACTGGAGAAGAAGCAAGGCAGGTGCAAGTCCAGAGCTCCCACAGCTGCAGGAGCAAATTCTGTGCTCTGCTCCTCACTTTCCTGTCTCTCCAGATCAGACCTCAAATCCTATGACTGGAGCAGTTGAGTTTCAGAAGCCTCGTAACTTGCACTTTTTCACGCCTTGGTAGCCCCTGGGTGCACGGGAGCAGCAGCAGCCACGGCAACAAGTACCAGAGCCCCCACAGCAGCAGCTAGGGACGTACCCCACAGCACCAGGGCCGTGTGGGCAGCACACCCCCCCGGCACCTCCCACAGCAACGCCCCTTCTGCCGCCATCTCCCTCCTCACCTCCTCATGCCTTTCCTCTGCTTCGTCTCCCTCCGAGTCTCCTCCCAGTCTTGCTGCTCCCCCAGACCTGTCCGTTTCCCCATCTGCAGCTGCTGGTTGTGACGACCAGGTGAGCCGCATGGGAAGGCACTCACAGCGGGGTGTAGTGACGGCGTCACATACTGCTGACAGTGATGCTTCTGCGCATGATGGCGATGCTGATGGTGATGTGGGCGATTTTGGTGCTGAGGATGGTGGGGATGATGATTCTACTGCTGGTGCGGACGCTGATGGCGGTGACTCTGGTGCTGAGGAGGATGGCGCTGATGGGTGCAAGGCGGATGGCCCCGGGCCGATTGGGGGAGGAGGCAGGACGAGGCATGCAGAAGGCAAGGGCACGTAAACCGCTGCGTGTGATTGGCTGCAGCTGCCGGTGATGGCCCATGAGAGAGAGGAGACGGTGGAGAGAGAGGAGTGAGTAGAGTGGTTTCCAGAAAGGGCGACTTGAAGTTGTTGCAAGTCCCAGGGGAGGGAGGCAAGTGTTAGGAGCGAGCGAGAGGCGGAGCGGAGGAGGGAGAGAGGGGAGAGTGGGGGGGAGAGAGTTGGCAGCACAGCCTGGCAGGGACAAGCAGGGGGAGGGCAGGGGGATAAAGGGAGGCGGTGATTGGGGACTAATAGAGGAAGTTGAATCTATCATGCTGGTAAGCAGTTCTTGGTGTACCTGGTAACCTTTTCAGAAACAAAAGTGCTGCGCCGTGCTTGATGATGACATTGGAGAGGCAGCAGGGGCAGTGAGGGATTGAGAGAGACGAATGCACAATTTGTTTCACGGGAATTCATCATTCCGAACCAGCCTGCACAGAGGAATCTATGATAGCTGGAGGATACAGAGTCGTTACAGGTTACGCAGATTGCGAAGCTTACTATGAAACAAGGGGGTTGGTGGGCAACAAGACGATAAGAAGATGTGAACAAATGGAAGAGTCATTAAGATAGCGTGGTTACCGGGTAACGAGAGTGCAGAGGCAGGCTGAACTCCACTGAGTAAGTAACCTCATCTTCCCCCTCACGCACGCCCCCCTTCTCCCCCTTCCTCTCCCCCGCATGCACGTCCCCTTCCCCCTTTCTCACTTTTCCCCCTGCGCCTTCCCCCTCCCCCTTCCGCTCCCCCTCTCCCAATGCCACGTCCCTTTCCATGAGAGCCATTGTTGCTTCACACCGAGGCGCCGGCTGCTCCAGCTCCACCGGACCTACCACCCAGGCTCGGTCGCCCTCTGGCTCGGAGGGGCCGGAGGGAGGAAAGGGAATAACAGGGGTAGGAGGGAGTGCGGAAGGGGTGAGAGGCAAAAGCATATTAAGGAAGGAGAGCAGGAGAGAGACGAGGCAGAAGGGTGGGGTTCAAGGCAAAAGCAGAATAATAATCAGCACCAACAGCACACCCTCACTGCACGCTCTTCCCCCATTCATCGCACCTGTACCCTCCTCAATGCGCCCCTTCCCCCATCACTGCACACTCCCCCGCCTTCACTGCGCATCTCCCCACTTCTGCTCTCCCTCTGCTTCCCCCCTCACGCGCCCAGAAACGCCTCCCCATCACCTGGTCGCAGGATTCGCTCCAGCTCTGCCTTGGCTGCGCTGCCCAGTGCCCACAGCTCCGCCTAAACTGCGCTACCCATTCCTCTGCGCGCTTCTCCCCCTCGTCTCACCATCCCAAGCGCCCACTAACCCGCCCCCCCCCCCCTCCCTCACCTGGTCGCAGGATTCGCTCCAGCTCAAACGGATCGGCATACAGTCCACGTGGCACGGGCTGCTCCAATCGTATTGTGGCACGTGTCCTCCCTGCCGCCCCACCGCTTCCCACGCTTTCACTTGCAGCAGTGCAGCTACTGAGCTCTGGAACCGCTCTGCACCCATCTGTCGGCCGCTCCTTCTCTCCGCCGTCGATTCTCCCTCCTTCCGTTTCCCCCTCATTCCCATTGTAACCGCGACTCCCCGTTCTCGTAACGGGCGCTTCTCCGCACGCCACGTGCGCACCGCCTGGATGACGTGGACGGAACACATCGGCGGGGCATGCCACGTGGAGTGACGTGCGCAGCACGCGGTGCGCCCCGCGGCCTTCGAGGCTCCGCGCGGCGACCCGCGCTGCGCAAGGCGCGGAGGGGAGGCGGATGGGATGCGGAAGCACGAGCGGCAGGAGGGAGAGGAGCAAGAAAAGGAGCACAAATCGCGGGGCCATGGCGAACACGGAAGAGACTATGGAGCGATACTTGTAATGGAGCGATATTCGACTAATATAATTGATCCGCAGTGCTTCGTGGCGCCGTTCTCCCGCCGAGAACGCGTGTCCCGAAGCGCTGCGACGCGGCACGAATGTTTCCAATAGGCTAGCATACTAAGCCCAGCACTGACATACTACTGAACCCGTCCGAGTTTCCGTCAGGAAAATTAGCTCACTGAATGCACATATATGGCTACATAAATGTGATTAGGGCGGGTCCAGCGCGTACGTTTTCCGTACATTACAGGTCATTCAGTGCGGTAATTTGTATTGCGTCACGCTTCATAACGGTGAAATTTCAGAACCGCTGTGCACCATCTAATATCTTTTCAAACCACGACGAATAAACTGTATAGTACCTGTAAACGTACGCGCTGGACCCGCCCTTAGAACTTGGAAGCACTATCATTGGGAAGGCAGCATTCTGCTTTGTGGGACAAACGCCATATGTCAATGGTCTGATGATAATGTGTGCTAGCAGTGGGTAACTTCAGGTTTAGATCGTTTCCATTCGGTTCCGACCCCAATGCAGGGATGAGCAAAAGCTTGTCGTGGGGTTGGTGGAGTTCAGCGCGGTGGTGACAGGTACAGTGTTGACGGAAGCTATGAACATTGTTGATGTGGCAAGCGATACCGATTCGGAAGACATATAAGCCGCAATGCACCACACTGATTCTTCTACTTATGAAGCGCATCGAAATTACGTACCATCCCTTCGGGGTCGATCCAGCACGAATCGCGGACAGCTGACTTGTACATAAACGGGTAGCGGCTACCTCTGCTGCTGACCTATTCACTACTGTCGCCGCTTTTCCCTCTGCTCGCTATTGTCCCGTCGCACACCTTGCCGCACACCTCGTCGCACACCTCGCCGCACATTTCGCAGCACGTCACACCGCACATCGCGCCATGTTGTTCCACGCGGCGGGCGCGGAGGGCAGTCGGCCGACGTTCTTCGAGATGGCGGCGGCGGACTTCCTCCCCGCCTCGCTAAAAGCCGCCGCGCTATACGCCCTCGGGGTGCGTGCTACATTACACGGCCATGTCTGCTGATCCCACTTGGGGCAAAAAAAGGGGGAAGGGAGGGGGGGGTTACGTAAAAAACTGCCACGTTATCTTATGCTATTTGGGGGGTTGGGGAAGAGGGGAAGAGGCGGAGCCGGGGAAGCAGACAAGGGGGAGCGGAGGGGGCGGAGGGAGGGAGAGTGGGGAGGGGGAGAGTCAGCAGCACTCAGAGGGTAAGCTGACTCATGACCAGCTTATTATGGCGTATCGCCCTCTTATCCCCCCCCTGCTCTTATCACCACCGCTGCTGCACCATCACCCATGAGCGTGCTGCGATGAGCCTCAATGCACACTCCCGCTTCCCTTCCCCTTCCCCCAACACCCCCTCCCCCCTCCTCCACCCCTCCACTCCCCGCCTGGCAGGTGTTGGCACAGCACCGTCCCTCGCTGCACCGCCTGCTGGACCACAGCGACGAGCTCTCTGCTGCTGCGCTGCTGCTGCTGGAGTGGCACTCGCTCAAAACACATGGTACTGCACTCTGCACTCGTTATTAGCTCTTGTTGTGGCCAGGACAGTCTTCCTCTCTGCCTCCCTTAAGTATTACTACCGCCACATTACACCTCTCCCAACTCCCCTCCCCCCATGTTCCTGCGGCCCGCCCTTGAGCCTTTCCATGCCATTCCGTCGCCGTCGTCATCATCGCTTCCCTTCCCTCCAACTCAACCCTCCCTCACTGCTCTCATCTCATCCCCCCCAGGCGCCTCCTTTGGTGAGTCCATGTACGGCCTTCGCCGCATCTCCACCGTTCCCCACCGCCCTTCACCCAGCCAAGCAGCACTACGAACAGGGGCCACAGCAGGGAGAGCAGCAGGAGGGGCGGAGGGGGCAGGCAGAGGAGAGAGGGCGGCAGGGGGACAGGAGGGCGGGTCAGCATCATACGGCATGTCTCGCAAGCAGCGGGCGCTGTCTCTTCTCTTTCTGGTCAGTTTAAGGTTAGGGTTGGGATTCAGGCCTGGGGTTCAGGGCTGGGGTTCAGGGCTGGGGTTCAGGGCTGGGGTTCAGGGCTGGGGTTCAGGGCTGGGGTTCAGGGCTGGGGTTCAGGGTTAGGGTTCAGGGTTGGGTTATTTTATTTGTGATTTCTGGCTGAGGGTGCTACCACCCTTTCATCTCTTCACTACACCCCATACCCTCTACCACATACCAGGTTCTCCTGCCCTACCTGCGCGCCAAGCTGCATGCTCTGTTTGCTATAAGCTGTAGCCCTACCACCACCCTTTCATCTCTCCACTATAACCCATACCCTCTACCACATACCAGGTTCTCCTGCCCTACCTGCGCGCCAAGCTGCATCCTGTACCCATCCTTACCCATTCGTCTCTCCACCACACCACATCCCTTTTACTGCACGGCAGGTGCTGCTGCCCTACCTGCGCGCCAAGCTGCATGCTCTGTTTGCTGTTCGCTAGAGGCAGAGGCAGGCCCGCTCTTTAAGTCGACTCAAAACACACCCTACCCTTTACCACATACCACATACCAGGTGCTGCTGCCCTACCTGCGCGCCAAGCTGCATGCTCTGTTTGCTGTTCGCTAGAGGCAGAGGCAGGCCCGCTCTTTAAGTCAACTCAAAACACACCCTACCCTTTACCACATACCACATTGTCGGAGAACCACCTCATCCTTGCAACCTGCTCTTCCTCTTGTCACTCCCTTGCCTTCCTTCTCCTTACGTGGTTGATGAGCCTCAGCCACTATGAAAGAGTTTCCTCCCTCACCCCGTAGGTCCTCCCATAGTGGAGTGCCACCGGATGCTAGATCTGAGGTAACAACTTTCCACTAATATGAGAGAATAACAGGAGAAAAGCAACGAGAGGGTGTTTGGTACTGAATTTACCTGAACCTGGCTCAGTCGCACACTTCTCGATGTGCGCCTCGAGCCAGGCCCAGTTGCTTCAGATTGGTTCGTTAGATTCCCACCCCTCGATGTTTCCTCTAACCCTTCCCAACAACTTCGCCTCAACCCCCCATACTCCCCAGCAACTCACCCACAAATTGTAATCATACAAAGACTACACCTGAACCTACACTTGCATCTACACCCGCGCACCAACTGTTATCGCATATGCACAAAGTGCATATTCGGTGACAGCTGTTGGAGAACCACCTCATCCTTGCAACCTGCTCTTCCTCTTGTCACTCCCTTGCCTTCCTTCTCCTTACGTGGTTGATCAGCCTCAGCCACCACCTGCCCCCTCCTGTGCCCGTGCTCGGGCTGCCTGAGCTCGGGTCACAGGACCATGCTGCTGAGGCCTTGTTCCTTTGACTCCTGCCGTGTTGCTCTGATGTGCCTTCACCGGTACTTCTTTCTCATTCTCCAGCACCAGCACCCCAGATTCACGCACCTCTTTTACTCTCCACTACCCTGCTTCACAACTTTCCACCCACCCGTTCACTTGCCTGGGCATTCTCTCCCACCACCATTCCCTGTTTAACAGCTGCATCATTCTCTCGTGGTCGAGTTGCCCCTGCTTGGTGTGCACTTCTTTGATTACTGGTTTCCTCTCGCCTGGTGCGGGTATCACCCTCCATCTCTCCGTCGGCTGCATCTGCAGCTCCTGTTGATACCACCTGCAGTGGTGCCCCCCCCTCACTCTCGCTCTCTCTGTCACTGCCTCCTCTTCTTCCGTTTCCCCCATCAGCCACTTCATGGCCCGCTCATTCTCCGAGATGTTTGCTGATTTCTTACTCCCCTTAACCTCATTCAGCACCACCTGCTTAGTCAGCAGCTCCCTAAATTTACCCTTGCATATCTCCTTATCCTCCGGCGGCCTTTTCCCCCTCCCGTATAACACCAGTTTGCAGCTGCTCAGCTTTAGCTCCCACTGCTTTACCGGGCCCTTACGCCCCTCGGCAAAGCGCCTCCAGTGTTTTGCTAGCATTGCCAACATCACCTTCTTCCCTTCTTCGCTCACTGTCTCTCCCCCCTTCCACTCTGGATTCTCCCCTTCCATGCGGGCCCAGGCTCCTTGTGGGACTGCGGCTGCCTCTGCTTTTCCTCCCACCTGCTCGTCCCGTTCCTCCGCTCCAGTTGCTGCTGTAACACCCGCTTCTACCCCCACCTGCTCGTCCCGTTCCTCCGCTCCAGTTGCTGCTGATACACCCACTTCTGCCCCCACCTGCTCGTCCCGTTCCTCCGCTCCAGTTGCTGCTGATACACCCGCTTCTGCCCCCACCTGCTCGTCCCGTTCCTCCGCTCCAGTTGCTGTTGATACACCCGCTTCTGCCCCCACCTGCTCGTCCTTCTCTTCCGCTTTTGCTACTGCTGATGAGCACGCCTGTGCCCCCACCGCTTTTGCTACTGCTGATGAGCACGCCTGTGCCCCCACCGCTTTTGCTACTGCTGATGTGCACACCTGTGCCCCCACCTTCCCGTCCTTCTCTTCAACTTTTGCTACTGCTGATGTGCACGCCTGTGCCCCCACCTTCTCGTTCTCCCCTTCCGCTTCTGCCGCTGCTGGTACGCACGCCTGTGCTCTCACCTTCTCACACCTCCCTTCCGCTTCTGCTACTTCTGGTGTGCACGCCTGTGCCCCTTGTTTCTTCCCTGGTGATAGAGTTAGTTCAGTCGGAGCATGAGTGCTTGCCATCCACTCAAGTTCCCCCGTTCCTGCCGTCATCACAACTATCCCCTTTGCTATCTGCTTCTCTGGTGCCATCAGCCCCTGTTCTTCTGCCATGACCTTCCCTAACATCCTGCTCCATGCTCCAGTGTCTGTGATCACCGTCTTGACCTTCTCCCCCTCCATTGCCGTCGCCTCATTTCTCACCATCAGTTCTGAGGTCTGGCTTACCCGCCCGTCCCGCGAGTGGCGAGCTACAACGTCCCTTGGTGTCGTCTCCTCTGCCTGCTGCCCCTTCTCTCCTCCCTTTTGTCGGTGCTCCTGCAGGTCGTCCTTCCCTCCACTCCGTAGTCCCATCTCTTCCCTTCCCTTCCATGCCACGTACGCGCGCTGCACCTCCTGCTCTACTTCCCTGTCATCCTCATCCCTGGCGCTCGTTCCTGCCTCTGCTTCCCGCCTTTGTCTGAGTGCCTGCAGCTGTGCCTGTAGCCTGCTGAGCTCATGTTCCAGCTCTTCCGGGTTCCCCTTTGCTGTCCCCTCCCGCTGGTAGCAGTCCTTCGCTTCACGTCCCTTCTTGCTGGAAATTTCACACCACGATGCATCTGGGCACTCTCTCCTCAAGTATCCTGGCTTCCCACAGCGATCACAGTTCTTGCAATCTCTCCTAACGTGCCCCGACTGTCCGCATCTGTAGCAGGTCCTGTTGTCTGCCCTACCATCCCCTCTTCCCTCTGACCTTCCCTGATCTTCAGATACCATTGCTGCTGCCCTTATCGGCCCACGGCTCCTCTCTGTCGTTTGTGGCCGGTACGCTTCAAACTTCCTCTGCGCAAACTCTATTTTCTCTGCCAACTCGAAGACGTCATCCAGCGTTGTGTCTGCCCCCATTTCGTACACCCTCATCCACAATCCGCTTCCCATGGTGCTGTCGAGTCCATCCAGGAACTTGCTAACAAGAAGGCCCATGTCTGCACATGTTACATCCTCCGCCAGGTTGATCAGCCGGTTGTAGTAGGTAAGCAACGACTCGCTCCACCCCTTCCTGAAATTCTGAAATTCTCTTATCTTCTCCGCGGTGTGCCCTGGAAACTGCCGCTGTAACTGCTTCAGAAATGCTTCCGTGGGGTCTTCCCCGTACCTTCCTGCCCTCTCTAGCAACTCATCCATCTTCATTCTGTACAGCGTTTCCGCCTCCCCTTCCAGTGTGTTCGGCAGACTCAGAAAAAAATCCACCGAGTCCATACCACTCCTCTCGCACCTGTATCTCACATTCCCTACTTGCATTAAGTAGTTCTTGAGTGAGGGCCCTGTGCGCTGATCTCCCGCGAATCGCGCCGGCACTTCCACTTGCTCAAACATCGCCGTGCTCCCCCGACCGTCTCCCCATGATTTACTCAGTCCTCTCGCCTGCCTTCCTGATGACTCCCTCTCCCTTGCCCTCTTGATTCTTTCCCTTGCCACTCTGGCGCGCTCCGTGCTGTATGCCAGCCCGCCGCCTCCCCCTTCGCGTCCGCGCTGGTCCTGTCCCACCTCCCTTCGCATGTCCTCCGCACTCATCCGTGCTCCTGCTCGCCCCGACTGCCTCTCTGGCGAGTAATGCGCCCTCGCCCAGCCTTCTCTATGCGTTCCTCGCTGCCAGTGCCTCTCGGGCGAAGGGGATCTCTCGTCCCTTCTCCCTCCGTGCCCGCGGCGACTGTCTTGCAGATGCCACTCCTCCTCCCATCTCCCTCCCTGCTTGCGCTGCAGACCTGGCGAACGTGTCTCACCCCTTGCCCTTCCCGCGTAGTGCCGCCACGGATCAGGTGAGCCAGACCCGCCAGTCTGTCGTCTATCATGTTGCCCATGCCGATCAGGCGAGCGCGACCCGCCCCCCTGCCTCCCATCATGGTGCTGACGCACCTCAGGCGAGCGCAACCCTCCGTTCCGCCCTCCTCCGCGCTGCCAACGCGGATCAGGTGAGAACTCGTCCTCGCGCACTTCCTGTTGCTCCTCCGCCCGCCCCCGCTGCTGCTCTGATGAGTGATTCACCTTCTCACGCCTCTCCTGCTTCCTGCGTCGGCGCCGCTCCAGATTATACCCATATTCCTCCTCTTCACTATACTCATGTTCCTTCGCTTCACACAGCTCCTCATCACTCCTTTTCGTCTTCTCCCTCCCTTCCTTACCCTCAGGGGAATCTTCTTGACACCGCCTCCCTCATCCGCCTGCTCCTCGGCGCCCATGATATTCTCTTACCCTTCCCTTGGCACTTTCCGAGTCCTTCCTTGGGGACACATCTCGCTGGCAGCGCTCTTCCTCATCCCTCCTCCTGTGTCTCTCTCTCTCTTGTCTCCCCCTTGCCTCTCCGTCAGGCTCCAGCACCAACCCTGCTCCTGCGCACGGGTACTCTTTCATTCCTTTACGGCGTGCTCTCGCATCCGCCCCCGCGATGTACTGCGACAAACACTCACTCCCCTTAACACGCGCTTCCCCCTCCTCCTGCCGCTGCCGTGCAGGCGAGCGCTGCGCGTGCCCCCTACCGCGGTCGTTCCCCCTTTCCTCTCGCCGCAGCTCTGGTGATCGCCCTCCACCTAACGCCAGGCGCCTCCTGCGCTCGTGTCCGCGTCTTGGTTCAGGCGAGCCATACATACCCGCCTGCGCGTTTCGCCTCCTCATTTCCTCACGGCTGGCTTCTGGCGCGCGCTCAGCCTCCTTGTCTTCGCCGCGCCTTGCGTTACTTCCGCGCATCCTGCCTGGCAAGCGATTTGCATCCGTGCTCCCCCGGCGCCCCGCGCAATTCTCAAGCATTTAGCCCACCGACCCGTCTGCATCCGCGCTACCGCGGCGCCTCACGCCATCCCTGCGCATTTCGCCCGTCGAATCGTCTGAATCCGCGCTCCCGCGGCGCCTTACGCTGCCGTCACCCATTTCGTCCGCCGCGCGACCTGAATCCGCGCTTCCATGGCGCCTTACGCTGCCGTCACCCATTTCGTCCGCCACACGACCTGAATCCGCGCTTCCCTGGCGCCTTACGCTGCCGTCACCCATTTCGTCCGCCGCGCGACCTGAATCCGCGCTCCCCTGGCGCCTTACGCTGCCGTCACCCATTTCGTCCGCCGCGCGACCTGAATCCGCGCTTCCCTGGCGCCTTACGCTGCCGTCACCCATTTCGTCCGCCGCGCGACCTGAATCCGTGCTTCCCTGGCGCCTTACGCTGCCGTCACCCATTTCGTCCGCCGCGCGACCTGAATCCGCGCTTCCCTGGCGCCTTACGCTGCCGTCACCCATTTTTTATTCGCCGCGCGACCTGAATCCGCGCTTCCCTGGCGCCTTACGCGGCCGTCACCCATTTCGTCCGCCGCACGACCTGAATCCGCGCTTCCATGGCGCCTTACGCTGCCGTCACCCATTTCGTCCGCAGCGCGACCTGAATCCGCACTCCCCTGGCGCCTTACGCTGCCGTCACCCATTTCGTCCGCCGCGCGACCTGCATCCGCGCTTCCGCGGCGCCTTGCGCTGCCTCCACGCATCCCTTCCGGCGAGCCACTTGCTCCCGCGTCCTTGCTCCCGTCGTCGCGCTCTTCTTCCGCGCCTTTTTCCTCTTCACCATCCCGCACCATCGGGATCTGGTGTGTTTCCTCGCCGTCGGCCTCGTTTGCCGAATCCGACGAGTCCACCACGTCCGCGTCGTCGCGACGCCTTACACCCTCTCCTTGCTGGCCGCGTGCCAGATTCCAAGGGTCACCGCTGGACGGTTGAGGCCTGGGCTCCGATCCCGCGTGCAGATCGTCCTCGCCTCCATCTCGACGCCCTTCAACGTGCAGATCTGCGCGGTCCGCCGCCCTCCTTGGCGACCACTCCCGCGATCTTCCTCGCTCCTGCGAGCGCGTCCTCCGCGACGGCGGCGTTTCCCGACGCGAGTACATCTGCTGCCAGCGCAGCTCGTGGCAGTCCGTACGGCCCAAACGTTCTCTCGGCTTTTCTCCTGTTATGAAAGAGTTTCCTCCCTCACCCCGTAGGTCCTCCCATAGTGGAGTGCCACCGGATGCTAGATCTGAGGTAACAACTTTCCACTAATATGAGAGAATAACAGGAGAAAAGCAACGAGAGGGTGTTTGGTACTGAATTTACCTGAACCTGGCTCAGTCGCACACTTCTCGATGTGCGCCTCGAGCCAGGCCCAGTTGCTTCAGATTGGTTCGTTAGATTCCCACCCCTCGATGTTTCCTCTAACCCTTCCCAACAACTTCGCCTCAACCCCCCATACTCCCCAGCAACTCACCCACAAATTGTAATCATACAAAGACTACACCTGAACCTACACTTGCATCTACACCCGCGCACCAACTGTTATCGCATATGCACGAAGTGCATATTCGGTGACACATACCAGGTGCTGCTGCCCTACCTGCGCGCCAAGCTGCATGCTCTGTTTGCTGTTCGCTAGAGGCAGAGGCAGGCCCGCTCTTTAAGTCGACTCAAAACACACCCTACCCTTTGCCACATACCACATACCAGGTGCTGCTGCCCTACCTGCGCGCCAAGCTGCATGCTCTGTTTGCTGTTCGCTAGAGGCAGAGGCAGGCCCGCTCTTTAAGTCGACTCAAAACACACCCTACCCTTTACCACATACCACATACCAGGTGCTGCTGCCCTACCTGCGCGCCAAGCTGCATGCTCTGTTTGCTGTTCGCTAGAGGCAGAGGCAGGCCCGCTCTTTAAGTCTACTCAACTACACCCCATACCCTCTACCACACGCCAGGTGCTGCTGCCCTACCTGCGGACGAAGCTGCACTCTCTGTTTGCTGCCCGCCAAAGGCAGAGGCAGGCCCGCGCACTGTGGGTGGGGGAGGAAGATGGGGGGGACGATGGGTGGGGGGGAACGGGGGAGGAGTGGGGGCGGGGGAGGGATGGGGGAAATAATGCTGGTCTGGGGCAAGGGGATGGGGATGGGGATGGGTATGGGGATGGGTATGGTGGGGCTATGGGAGGTGAAGAGCGCAGTGAGAGTGGCAGCAGCCCTGGGAGCATGGGCTCTGTTGGTTCCCTGCGTGGGCACGAACAGCTAGATGATGGGCTGGGGACTGATGGATTGAGGGACGAAACGCCAGGGGGTGAGGGTGTGGCAGCGGCCGCAGCAAGAGTTACCGACGGGCGTGCGGAGGGAGGAGCAGGAGAGGAGGAGGCGGATGGGCAAAGGGGGCAGGTGGTGACAGGAGGGGCCACTGCTGGCAATTCAGATGCCAGAGGCAATGGGGGAAGGAGGAGCAGTGCGATTGGCAGCAGCAGGAGCAGTGCGAGGGGCAGCAGGAGGTGGCGACAGGTGCTGCGAGTGCTGCGGTGGTTGCAGCGACGGGCCGTGAGAGGGGCCGCTGCTGCGTACCCCTGGGTGCAAGCACCGTATGAAGGTGAGCTCGTCTGTGTGGGAAATTGAGCTCGTCTGTGTGGGAAATTGAGCTCGTCTGTGTGGGAAATTGAGCTCGTCTGTGTGGGAAATTGAGCTCGTCTGTGTGGGAAATTGAGCTCGTCTGTGTGGGACATTGAGCCGGTGTGTTTTGGAGAAGGCCAGAGCTCACACCTTAAAGCAGACTCTGTCGCCGAGCTGCCGAGCTGAGAGGTGCTGCTGCAGCGTACCTCTGGGGTAGTGAACATGTGGACTGGTGTTGCTCCCCTCTCCCCTTCCTTCCCCACCACGACTGTATCTGCTGTACTGCTGCTCTACGTCATGGATGCCACACCTCAGCACCAACCTTTGTAACCTCTTTTCCTTATTCCAGATTTTCCCATCCCCTCCTTCTCCTCCCCCCACCCACCAGGCGTGTGTCTGCTGTACCAACTCCAACTTCTCTACGTGATGGATGCCATGCCTCACTACTCTCCGTTGTAATCTGTGCCCTGTTCCTTCCCTTTCCCCCCACGTCCCACCCCTTCCCCCCCACCACCAGGCGTGTGTCTGCTGTACCAGCTGCTCTACGTCATGGTCGCTGCGCCGCACTACCAACTTATGCAAGCTTTGTGTCTTACTCCTTCCCTCCCTCACCCCACCCCTCTACACACACCAGGCGTGTGTCTGCTTTACCAGCTGCTCTACGTCATGGACGCCACGCCGCACTACTCGCCCATCCTGCACCTCCTCTCCCTCTCGCTGCGCCGAGCCACTCCACAGGAGCTGGTGAGGCGGCATGCACTCTCACAACGCGAGGTACCTTATGGTTTTCACATATCAATGGGATTTGTTGTTTTCCTAGGTCTTATGTGTGAAAATACTGGGCTTGTGAATTGATTTGCTATGCCTGTTTATGTGGTACGCGCACATGGCGGTATGGGCAAGGGACTATCTACACCTGGCTGTGCGCTCATTTGACTGTGCACATGTGGCTGTACGTGCATGTGACTAAGCAACTGTGACTGTAAGAGCACGTGAGTCGTCATCTCAAGGCATACTCCCTCCCTACTCCCAGGCAGAAGGCTCTTCCTCTGTCTCTGCCTCTCTTTCTCTTGTTGCCTCTCCCTCTCTGTCCACCCGTGAACAGTGTGCGTGAAACATAGCACTTTCACTTCCTGCCTTTTCCTGCCACTTCCTGCTGTGCAGACGGAAGGCTCCAGCAGAGAAATCCCCTGCCGTGTAGAATGCTTCAGGATCCTCAAACCCAGCCTGCCCCCATCCCATCCCTGCCGTGTAGGCAGATGCATGCATCTTCTTCTTTCCCATCCCTGGCGTCGGCAAGTGCCTCAGACCCATCGCCCCTCCCCTCCCACCGTGCAGGCCGAGGCATCTTCCTCCATCTCCACCCGCCGTCAGCGAGAGTTCGAGCGCCTCCCAGGCTCACCCGCAATAAGGGTGAGATGTTGGGGTTAATAGCCACAATGTGGGTGCTATTAGGGTTATAGCCTGGAATAGTGGTCATATATTGGGGTCGAGATGCAGTACAAGTTAGGTATTCGATCTTCTATCCTCCAATACAAGTGTGTGGACAGGGTAAGATCCTACAAGTGAAGGCCATTCACACGCATTGTGGGCCTCCGTTCTCCTCACCTCACTCCCCAATCGCTTGTTATCCTCCCCAATCGCTTGTTATCCTCCCCAATCGCTTGTTATGCTCGCTTCGTTTCCTCCGTCCAGGCTGTGCAAGCAGCGCTTGTAAAAGCCGTCTACTTTTCCATGGACCATGCCCAGAGTCTCGGCCCAATCCCTCTCTCACCACTGCTGCTGCTGCTGCTGCTGCTGCTGCTGCTGTTGCTGCTGCTGTTTGACTTGTCACCGCTTCCCCTCTCCCAACCTGTCCCTCGCCCCCACTCCCATCCAAACCAGGCCGTGCAAGCAGCGCTCCTGAAAGCCCTCTACTTCACCATGGACTATGCCCAGACGTCTGTCATCGCTGCGGTCTTTGCCTTCAAGGTACGCCCCTCTAAATCATGCCCTTTCAAGCCCCACCACTCCTCCATTGCTGCGGTCTTTGTCTTCAAGGTACGCCCACTTCAAGAAAGAAGAAGAAAATCACTTCCTTAGAAAGCAAATTCCTCCTCTTCGTTCCAGCTTCTAGTAATCGCGGTTGGCTGCACATCCTAGTAATCGCGGTTGGCTGCACATCCTAGTAATCGCGGTTGGCTGCACATCCTAGTAATCGCGGTTGGCTGCACATCCTAGTAATCGCGGTTGGCTGCACATCCTAGTAATCGCGGTTGGCTGCACATCCTAGTAATCGCGGTTGGCTGCACATCCTAGTAATCGCGGTTGGCTGCACATCCTAGTAATCACGGTTGGCTGCACATCCTAGTAATCGCGGTTGGCTGCACATCCTAGTAATCGCGGTTGGCTGCACATCCTAGTAATCGCGGTTGGCTGCACATCCTAGTAATCGCGGTTGGCTGCACATCCTAGTAATCGCGGTTGGCTGCACATCCTAGTAATCGCGGTTGGCTGCACATCCTAGCAATCGCGAACGTCTCTTCAGAACTCCAATTGCTCATTGATCAATGTAACCCTCAGGAGCATTGTTATGTGGCTTGCAGCTCTTTTCTTGCCATGCCCCATGAGATGGCAAAGCGCTGCCAACGGGCAGTTTGGTTGATTATACGGCACCTGACGAGTTTAGTATACACCTAACGAAGGGGTGTGTGGTGGGTGACGTTTGAGTCGACTCAATAGTCACCTTGTGTGGTGGGTGGATACCACCGACTGGCGTTCCCCGACTAGATGCCTCACAGACTCCAGCTCGTCTTGCCGCTACACCTTAGAGTATCCCTGCTAACAGCTCTCTGCCTTACATGCTTGCTTGCGGGCTTCTGTTTGCTCACAACCCCACCAGATGGCCGAGTGGTGGTACCAGACAGGCAAGCAGAAGCTGAGTGCGTTTGGCTGCCATGTTGTCTGATATCCCTGCTGACCACACTCTGCCCTGCCCTGCCCTGCCCTGCCCTGCCCTGCCCTGCCCTGCCCTGCCCTGCCCTGCCTGCTTCCCTTCCACTCGTTCACCCCCACTCATCCGCCATCAGATGGCTGAGTGGTGGTGCACTGATTCCCCCGTGCCCCCACCCTTAGAGATGTTTCCACTTATCGGTCCCCATTCCCCCATCAGATGGCTGAGTGGTGGTGCACTCATTCACCATCCCCCATCAGATGGCTGAGTGGTGGTGCACTCATTCACCATCCCCCATCAGATGGCTGAGTGGTGGTGCACTCATTCACCATCCCCCATCAGATGGCTGAGTGGTGGTGCACTCATTCACCATCCCCCATCAGATGGCTGAGTGGTGGTGCGAGACAGGCAAGCAGACACTGGGTGCGTCTTGCTGCTATGTCATGCCATACTTGCACTCTCCCATGCCTGCTCATGTGACACCACTCACTCATCTACCCCCCCCCCCCCCCCCCTTATCCCCCATCAGATGGCCGAGTGGTGGTACCAGACAGGCGAGCAGAAGCTCAGTGCTCCCACTGTGTACCCTCCGCCACCACCCCCCCCACCTCCCAAGGCAAGTGCGTTTTCTCCTAAATACGTGTTACGTGTCCATGGTAGTACCATGATAGTACGACAGTAAGCTCAGCGCTCCCACTGTACCCTTCGCTCCGCAGTAACCCCACCAACCCCAGGGCAAGTGCAGGAAAGCGGTCAACCCATCCCCTTCAGCGGGTTCCCCTACACGCCATTTGAGGCGCCTCAAAAGTTCAGCGGGTTCCCCTACACGCCATTTGAGGCGCCTCAAAAGTTCAGCGGGTTCCCCTACACGCCATTCCTTCGAACCCATTCCCTCCCTTGTAATCATTTCCTTCAGCCAATTCCCTTATGATCCACTGCCTTTATCCCTTTCGCTTACAAACCACTCGCTTCAACCCATTGACTTATTATCCATTCCCTTCAACCACTCCCTTTTCACCCATTCTCGGATAACTTATAACCCTCTCCCTTCTCTTCCTTTTTATCTGGCCCCAGGTGGCCCCTGCAGGCATCCCACTGCCTGCTGATGCGCCCTGTGCGTGCTCTGCCTCTGCTTCTGCTGCCAATGCCGTTTATCCCATTCTCTTGTAACCATCTCCCTTGTTTCCCTTTCTTCCTCCTAGGTGACCCCTGCAGGCATCCCCGTGCCTGCTGATCGCTCCCTGTGTCCGCTCTGCCTCTGCCGTCGCACCAACCCCACCGCCCCTGCCACCTCCGGCTTCATCTTCTGCTACCCCTGCATCTTTGCCTACGTGGACAAGGCAAGCAATCCTGTACCCTGGTAACCCTGTAACCTGCATTGAAACGAAACAGTCATCCTCTGTTAACCCTACATCTTCGCCTAATTGGACAAGGCAGCGCCAGTGCAGTGCCAAGGGCGCGTGACCTCTTTGCCCTTGGCATCCTATCCAGCTCATGCTATCGCTGCATAGTTGTTCATGTTTTTCTGCTCACGTGCTCGTGCATGTTGCCAAGGTTCAAGACCGCGCTTGCTAAGAGATGCCTGACAAGTTTGATTTGCCTTTGCTGAATCAGGATTCAGGGTGGTGAAAGGCTAATGTGGGCCACGTGTTGGAATGAACAACAGCCTCGCTTTAGCTCACCCCGCATGTTTCGCAAAAGGAATTGCGTGTGTGATATTTGACTGTGTTTGTTCTCCAGCATTTCAGCATGGTTTACCCTACTTTGACGCCATCTGTTGACCCCTTTCTGTTCTCCTCCCCTCTGTGCTTCCTCCCCTCCCCATTCCTTTCCTTATCCAACAATTCCCGTCTCTCGCCTCTTCCCTTCTCTCCTCTTTGCTCCTGCATCTCCTCTCCCCCCTCCCCTCCACCATCACCCCCCACCAACATTTTCACCCTCCAGTTCGGTCGCTGCCCCATCACCCACCACCCCACCACTGTGGATCAACTCAGGCGCCTCTTCCCTGATGCATAATACTCTACACTACTGAGGTATTATTTCCAGCTTACCGAGTCGACTCAGAAGACTAGAGAGGGCTGCCCCAGTTCCAGCTTGTTAACTAACTCACGCACCTTCTTGTCAAGGCTTAGTAGACTACACTACTCTACAGTTTTGTTTCCAGCTTAGGCACCAAACCCAGGTTCATATTGCTGTACACATTTGGTTGCGCCAGCTTGTTGAACAATATACGGTAGGTAATAAATTTTGTATGAATGCATTGCAAAAAAAATGCGCAAAATTTTGATACTAGATCAAGAATACTGTTATTTCTGATAAAAAATGCATTTAGGGAATCAATGTTGCTGAAACATCATTATTTCATTAACCCATGGTAACAAGTCTCACATTGTGCAAAACAATGCGAAACAGATGTATTTTAATAGTACGCGAACCTTGTGAAAACACTTTATACAGCCTTTAAGCACAACCATCATGGCAGTAACGTAAGGCACGACAGTAACGCTCCGCGCCACTTGCTGCCTCCGTCGGTAGGTGGCGGGGCGGCCACTTGCGCCGTACCGAGCCGCCTTGTCGGGCTGTCCATGCACCTGCCGCCAGAAACACGATTCCTCCTCCCCTTACCTCTCCCTCCCAGTCCTCGCTTTCGCCTTATCCTGTACTGTGCGGTGCAGTGTCCTTCGTTACGTTACACATGCATCTGTCCTAACAAGGATGGAGTAAAACCACCGTAACAGACCTTACTAAACCACCACGTGTGCTAGCGTGGAGTTGTTGACCGAAGTGATTGTAGAGTGCCTGGTGGGTGCACCACAGGGGAGTAAAGAGCAAGCTCTGAACTGAACTGGTTGGAGAAGGAATTCGGCTCAGTTTGCTCAGAGACGCACCAGTCCCAACCGCCGTTTCGTATATTTCACACACAGGCGACGCGGATGGGGAGGAGCGGGCTGTTCTAGTAGCAAGAGAGAGTCGCGAGTCGTCGCAAGCGGCGAGGCCTCTAGAGACTTAATTTCGATTATCGCGAAGCAGCACGCACCGCCCGGCCCTGCTTGCGCCACGTGTTGATTTCCTTCCTGAATTCCGCCAAAGCCGCGCATTTTCCGCCACCATGCCTTCGCCTCGCCCCGTCGATTCGCCGCCTCGCCCATCCGCGCATTCACCCCTCGCGCGCTCCTCCCGTCGTGGCCGCGTCGGGGCTTCCGCCCTTCCGGAGGCTCGGCGCGCAGCATGGCTGGCAGCTGTCGCAGTCGCCGTCGCCGTTGTCGCAATGGTGTCGCCTGCGACTGCTGGGCGACCCAACGTGCTGGATAACTTCCTCCCGCCCTGCCCCACCCTCGCCGAACCTACCAGTGCGCAACCCCGTCCCTTTCTCCCCCTCAGTCCCCCTCCTCTTTCCCGTCTAGCTCCTCTTTTCCCCTCTCCCCTCGCCCTTCCCCTTCTCTTCCTCCCCGTTCCCATCTCCCGTTTCCCCTCCTGCTTCCTTCCTCCTCCTGTTTCTCCTCCCCATCCCCCTTGCGCTCCCCTTACCCCCTCTCTTCCCTTTTCCCCTTCCATCGCGCCGTTGCTTGAATCTCCTCCCTGCCAGCATCCCTCCCTCCCTTTTCCCGGCTCGCTCTCCTCCCTCCCAACGCCCCTGCCCCGGCCCCTTCCCTCCCCTCAGCCCACCCGTCCATCCCTCCACCCAGCGTGCAAGAAGTGGAGCGACTTGGCAACGTGAGCCCCCGGGTCCATCCCGGGCGCCAACGTCACCATTCCCTGCGGTGAAGCCCCCCTCACTCCCCTTCCCCCGCTCTCCCTCCCCTCCCCCCAGCGTACAAGAAATGGAGCGACCCAGCCACGTGGGCAGGCGGGTCTCAGCATTTCCCGTCACCACTCTCCCCTCCTTCCCCCTTCTTTCCCCCCCTCTCCTCTTCCCCCCAGCGTACAAGAAATGGAGCGACCTGGCGACATGGGCAAGCGGGTCCATCCCGGGCCAAGGCGACGCCGTGGGCGCCAACGTCACCATCGCGTGCGGGGAGGCCATTCTGCTCGACACCTCGCCCATCGCCCTCACTCTCCTCAACATCCGCGGCTTCCTGCGCGTGCTCGACTCCCTCCTCACTTCACTCCACTTCCTCTCCTTCCCGTTCCTTCTTGTTCCCCTTCCCCTCCCTCTCCCCATTCAGCGTACAAGAAATGGAGCGACCCGGCGACGTGGGCCCCCGGGCCCATCCCAGGCCGAGGCGACGCCATTGGAGCCAACGTCACAATCGCGTGCGGGGAGGCCATTCTGCTCGACACCTCGCCCATCACCCTCACTCTCCTCAACATCCGCGGCTTCCTGCGCGTGCTCGACTCCCCTGCGCTCCCCAAGGTCGACCTGTCCGCGGCGTTCATAGTGGTGCAGGGGAATTTCTCCATCGGCACGCCGCAGCAGCACTACAGGCAGCGGATCAAGATCACGCTCACGCCCAATCCCAACAACCGCGCGGACTATCTCTTCACCGAGAACCTTCCCGCTGAGCCCGCATTTCCACGGAACCTTGGACACAAGGCGTTTGCAGTGGTGAGTGAATGAGTGAGTGAGTGAGTGAGTGGCGTTCCGTTGTCGACTGGTTGTCCTCCTCATTCTCCCCAAGGTCGCCTCTCAACCGCGCGGACTATCTGTTCACCGAGAACCTTCCTGCGGAGCCCGCGTTTCCGCGCAATCTCGGCCACAAGGCGTTTGCAGTCGTGAGTTGCGCGTCTCCTCTGCTCTCTCCTTGCCTCTCTCCGCCCCTCCTCCCGCCTGCTCTCCACTCGCCTTCATCCCCCTTCTCCCCTCGTGACCTCCCTTCCTTTCCCCAATGGCTCGTCTGCTGTTTTCACCTGAGCGATCGGGTGATTGTTGCGTCCTGCTTGATACACGTCTGTTGTTTCCTCTCGCCCTCACCCACCTCTGATACATGATGATTGTTCAATACTCTTTTCTCTGTTTTTGTCAGGTGGGCGGCCAGGTGGATTTCCACGGCATGCCAGGTGGCAGCAGCACGCCCGCGTGGACGAAGCTGACGGGGACAGCTCAGCCCAACGACCTGGTGATTACAGTGCAGGATGACGTCAGCGCGTGGCCTCAGGACGCCTTCGTTGTTGTCACATCCACTGACTACTTCCCCGACCAGGCGGAGGTCGTAGGGATCATTGATGGTACGCCAGGATTGACTGGTGAATAGTCCTATCGGGCAGTGCGGGCGAGGCGTATGTGGGACTAGCGGGGCGGGGCATATGTGGCAGTGCGTGTGGGGGATCTCCCCGGTGTCACATCCCGACTACTTCCCGACCAGGCCGAGGTCGTGGGGATCATCGATGGTACGTTGGGGGAAAAGAAACCACTCGGAACCACTGGGAACCACTTTGGAGACCCCAAGAGAGTGCCAGGCAGACTCATTGGTTCACCACGCATTCGCCACCACCTGCCTTCCCCACCTCCCCCCTACCCTTTCCTGCCCTCCCGTGGCGGTTCAAAGATATTTTCGAATAGCCTGATGCACTTCTGAGGTCCCAACCCAAGGGCGAGTTTGGATGGACCAGCCCCGCTCATCATGCTCAGTGCCCTCCATTCCCTTCCTCCCTCCGCCTCTCTCCCCCCCCTTCCAGTAGTGACCCTCCCTTCCGGCGGATCAAAAATCTTCCTGGAAAAGCCGCTCCGCCTGATGCATTTCGGAGATCCCAAGGGCGTGCGTGGACCAGACCAGCCAGACCCACTCAATCATACTAGCCATCCGAACTCCTCCCTCTCTCCCCCCCTCATTCCCTCCAGTGGTGACCCTTCCCTCCGGCGGCTCGAAAATTTACCTGGAAAAGCCGCTCCGCCTGATGCATTTTGGAGATCCCAAGGGCGTGCCGGACGGGTACGGAGGCTTCGTGGACCAATGGGCCGAAGTGGCCCTCCTGAACCGCTCCATCGCCATCACACCGCCTCTGGATTCTCTGCCACCTTTCAACCCTCTCTCTCTCTCTCACTCTCTCCCTCCCCCCCCCTGCCTCCCTTCCTTCAGTGGTGGCACTCCCTTCGGGCGGCTCGAAAATATTCCTCGAAAAGCCGCTCCGCCTGATGCATTTTGGAGATCCCAAGGGCGTGCCGGACGGGTACGGGGGCTTCGTGGACCAGCGGGCCGAAGTGGCCCTCCTCAACCGCTCCATCGCCATCACGGGAACAGACGAGCCGGCGCCGTACCACCGAGAGGGCGGGCACTTCATGATCTTCATGAGCAACACGCCTCAGTTCATTGAAGGCGTGGAGTTTGCCCAGATGGGGCAGCAGGGGAAGCTGGGGCGATATAATATCCACTTTCACGTGTGCGGGGATGACGCGGGGCGGAGTGTTGTGCGGAAGAACGTTATGCATGACAGCAAGCAGGTGAGGGCGGGGTGGTGGGGAGCAGGAGAAGGTGGGAGCAAGAAGGTGAAGCTGGGGCAATATGCGGGATGACCAGGGCGGAGTGTTGTGCGGAAGAACGTCATTCATGACAGCAAGCAGGTGAGGGCGGGCGGGGTGGTGGGGAGTGGGTGGGGGAGGGATGGGAGCAAGCAGGAGAAGGTGGGAGCAAGAAGGTGAAGCTGGGGCAATATGCGGGGATGACCAGGGTGGAGTGTGGTGCGGACGAACGTGATGCATGATAGCAAGCAGGTGAGGGGGGGTTGATGGTGGTGCGGAGCAGGTGAGGGCTGAGATGAGAGCAAGTATGTGAGGGATGGCGGAAACAAAACAGCACCTTTCATTTCCCGCCCCCACCACCACGTAGCCTTGATGGCGCTGTCTTGATGGCGCTGCCTTGATGGCGCTGCCTTGATGGCGCTGCCTTGATGGCGCTGCCTTGATGGCGCTGCCTTGATTCTTCCTTTCGCCCACGTCCTCCCTTCATCACCAGCGCTGTGTGGTGACGCACACGATCTTCAACCTCACAGTCGAAGAGAGCATGGCATACCACACGAGTCACCAAGATCCCTTCTTTTCCCTCACTGTTTGTTGGCTCCTTTATGTTCCCTTTGCGTCCCCATTCCCCCCAGCGCTGTGTGGTGGTGCACACGACGTTCAACCTGACGGTGGAGGAGAACGTGGCATACCACACGAGGGGCCACTGCTTCATGGTGGAGGAGAACGTGGCATACCACACGAGGGGCCACTGCTTCATGGTGGAGGAGGGGGGGGGGGGGGGGGGGGGGAGGGGCGAGACCGGCACTCACTGTCTGCTCTTTGCCCTTTGCGCTTTGCTCCTTGCATCCCTCACACCCCTCCCCACCAGCGCTGTGTGGTGGTGCACACGACGTTCAATCTCACCGTCGAAGAGAACGTGGCATACCACACGAGAGGCCACTGCTTCATGGTGGAGGAGGGCGGCGAGACCGACAACACCTTCCTGCGCAACCTCGGCATCTGGACGAGAGCAGGTGCGGTGAATCTGGTCAAGAGCTGGTGGGTCAAATCAAATTGTCTCCCTTCATCTCCCTCCCTGTCCCCCTCCCTTCACCTACCCTACCCTCCTCACCCTTTGAAGCCGTTGGCCCAAATTGCACAAGTTTTAAAAGGATGACGCGAGGGGTTTTTTCTGGTCTGGGTTTTGGCGAGTGATTCCCATTTCGTTTTTTTTCGTTTTTATCGCCAAACCCAGCCTGCCCTGGAATTTCGCCCTGGGAGTTGGTTCAGTCCCCGAAGTCCCAAATTGCAAGCGCGCTTCTTTTCAAAGCTTGCAAACACCACTTCGTCAAGTTTTAAAAGCTTGACCCGCGCGCTCCGCAATTTGGGCCGCGGGCTTTAACAGTGGAGGTGCTCATCCCGCTCTCATCCGAACATATGGAAATCGTTTTTGAGAATTCTCAAAAGCGATTTCCCTCCTCACCCTCAACAGTGGAGGTGCTCATCCCGCTCTCATCCGACCCCACCAAGACGGAGGAGACAGGCGATGTCCCGTTCACGTTAGCACATGCACGGGACTTGTACCTTATCCCCACCCCCAACCACCCCCTGCTCCCCCTCACCGCCTCTCCTATCAGTGGAGGTGCTCATCCCCCTGTCAGCAGCCGACCCCACCAAGACGGAGGAGACGGACGACAACCCGGCCATCTTCTCGTTCACCCAGTGCTTGCCTTACTCCCTTTCATCTCTCTCTCTCCCAACCATCAACCCATCAACCATTCCCCCCTATCAGTGGAGGTGCTCATCCCGCTGTCAGCAGCCGACCCCACCAAGACGGAGGAGACGGACGACGCCCCGTCCACGTTTTGGATCACCAACCCCAACAACAACTTCATTGGGAACGTGGCCGCTGGCTCTGAGAACTCGGGGTACGTTTCTTCTGCTTTTCTCTGTGCACTCGTGGGTGTGACTTTAGACGGTGGGGAGCATCAACGCCCCGTCCACCTTCTGGATCACCAACCCCAACAGCTTCATTGGGAACGTGGCGGCCGGCTCTGAAAACTCAGGGTATGTTCCAATTAGGGCGCATTCTGATTGGGTGCACGCGCGCGAGGAGAAGAAAGTAACCCATCACCATCACAGACAGACAGACAGGGGTGCGTTCTGATTCCAGCGGCGGCAACAACCCGTCCACGTTTTGGATCACCAATCCCGAGGCGACAACTAGGGATGAGCAAATGGCGAACTCGAACACGTTTGGGTTCGAGTTCGCTCGAACATCATCTTTTCCCGAACCGAACACAGTTCGGTTCGGCGAACACTTTGAGCAAAAAATGGTGTTCGCCGTTCGCCTGTGAAGGCGTGTTCGGGCGAACCTCGAACAGTGTTCGTGTTCGTCACGGGCAAATTGCAGCGGCGGCCCGAACACGAACGTGTTCGGGCGAACATCGAACACTGTTCGGCGAACATTTTAAGCCAAAAAAAAAAACCTGTTCGGTTCGCCTCGAACGTGTTCGAGGCGAACCGAACAGGTGTTCGCCACCTTGCTCATCCCTAGCGACAACTACTTCATTGAAAACGTCGCCGCTGGCTCTGAGAACTCGAGGTGGGTTGTGAGTGAGGTGGGTGGGTGGGGTGGTTGTGAGTCCGTGCAAGTGTGAGTGTGAGAGCAAGTGAGTGTTGGCAGACAGGCAGACTGGAGGTTGACAAACCTCACCGTCTTCTCGATCACCATTCACCCCAACAACAGCTCCCTCGGCAGCTATGGTGCCGCTGGCTCTGAGAACTGGGGGTGGGGTGCGAGTCCGTGCAAGTGCGGCTGTGAGTGTGGAGGGACGGGAGGGACAGACAGATGCAGATCAATTGATTGGTACAGATAGGGTAGGAACAGGGAGGCTACAACCTTACAACTTTGCTCGTGCCCTTACAACTTTGCTCCCCTCCCTCCCGCACACAACCCCCCAACCAACCAGTTATTGGATGGAGCTGAGGGACCGGGTGCGCGGATTCATGCTCTCCTACCCCGGGCTCAATGCCTCAGTGCCGGCCAACGGCCGCTTTGCTATCCACCCCTCTGATCTATGTCCCTTTCTCCCCTTGCCACTCTTCCCCCCCTCTTCCTGCACACAACCCCCCTCTGTCACAGCTATTGGATGGAGCTGAGGGACCGGGTGCGCGGATTCACGCTCTCTTACCCCGGACTCAATGCTACAGTCCCTGCCAACGGCCCCTTTGGCATTTATCGTGACAATGTGGCCCACAGCAACCGAGGGCCGGGGTGGAGGACTTATCCCAAGGGGGTGCGACCGCGGCAAACCTGGTCTTTGGAATCTCCGATCCCCCAGGTGAGAGGGAGGGACTCACATGGGTCAAGGTCAAGGTGACTTCTGGGTCGACTCAGAAGTCAACGCCACCGTGCCGGCCAACGGCCCCTTTGGCATCTACCGTGATAACGTGGCCCACAGCAACCGAGGGCCGGGGTGGAGGACTTATCCCAAGGGGGTGCGACCCTAAGGTAGGGACGCCTATTGGTCGCTGGATTCGCGTATCCCTCAGGTAGGGATGCATGGCAGGAGAGTGGGCCGTGGAGAATGCACGTGGAACACAGCAACAGAGGGCCGGGCTGACGCACCATCAGAGGGTTGGCACTCGCCTGCACAATGCATGTGTGTGTGTGTGTGTGTGTGTGTGTGTGTGTGTGTGTGTGTGTGTGTGTGTGTGTGTGTGTGTGTATGCACACAAACCCTCAAACCTCTCACCACCGCACCCCACCTCTCGCCCCAACCGCAGTGGCAGTGGAAGCCGTCTACAGGAACCATCAGCGGGCTGCTTCTCTACAAGCAATCCGGGGATGGGTGAGTGGTTTGGAGGGGCAATGAGTGGTTTGTAGGCGCGGTGAGTGGTTTGGAGGGGCGATGAGTGGTACAAGGGGCAGCTAGCGGGCGCATGTCTCAGCCCCTGGGAAAGCTCTAACTGGCCCATGCTTTGTTTCCCTGACCATCCCATGCTTTGTTTCCCTGACCATCCCATGCTTTGTTTCCCTGACCATCCCATGCTTTGTTTCCCTGACCATCCCATGCTTTGCTTCCCTGACCATCTCATGCTTTGTTTCCCTGACCATACCATGCTTTGTTTCCCTGACCATCCCATGCTTTGTTTCCCTGACCATCCCATGCTTTGTTTCCCTGACCATCCCATGCTTTGTTTCCCTGACCATCCCATGCTTTGCTTCCCTGACCATCCCATGCTTTGTTTCCCTGACCATCCCATGCTTTGTTTCCCTGACCATCCCATGCTTTGTTTCCCTGACCATCCCATGCTTTGCTTCCCTGACCATCTCATGCTTTGTTTCCCTGACCATCCCATGCTTTGTTTCCCTGACCATCCCATGCTTTGTTTCCCTGACCATCCCATGCTTTGTTTCCCTGACCATCCCATGCTTTGTTTCCCTGACCATCCCATGCTTTGCTTCCCTGACCATCCCATGCTTTGTTTCCCTGACCATCCCATGCTTTGTTTCCCTGACCATCCCATGCTTTGTTTCCCTGACCATCCCATGCTTTGCTTCCCTGACCATCCCATGCTTTGTTTCCCTGACCATCCCATGCTTTGTTTCCCTGACCATCCCATGCTTTGTTTCCCTGACCATCCCATGCTTTGCTTCCCTGACCATCTCATGCTTTGTTTCCCTGACCATCCCATGCTTTGTTTCCCTGACCATCCCATGCTTTGTTTCCCTGACCATCCCATGCTTTGTTTCCCTGACCATCCCATGCTTTGTTTCCCTGACCATCCCATGCTTTGCTTCCCTGACCATCTCATGCTTTGTTTCCCTGACCATACCATGCTTTGTTTCCCTGACCATCCCATGCTTTGTTTCCCTGACCATCCCATGCTTTGTTTCCCTGACCATCCCATGCTTTGTTTCCCTGACCATCCCATGCTTTGCTTCCCTGACCATCCCATGCTTTGTTTCCCTGACCATCCCATGCTTTGTTTCCCTGACCATCCCATGCTTTGTTTCCCTGACCATCCCATGCTTTGCTTCCCTGACCATCTCATGCTTTGTTTCCCTGACCATCCCATGCTTTGTTTCCCTGACCATCCCATGCTTTGTTTCCCTGACCATCCCATGCTTTGTTTCCCTGACCATCCCATGCTTTGTTTCCCTGACCATCCCATGCTTTGCTTCCCTGACCATCCCATGCTTTGTTTCCCTGACCATCCCATGCTTTGTTTCCCTGACCATCCCATGCTTTGTTTCCCTGACCATCCCATGCTTTGCTTCCCTGACCATCCCATGCTTTGTTTCCCTGACCATCCCATGCTTTGTTTCCCTGACCATCCCATGCTTTGTTTCCCTGACCATCCCATGCTTTGCTTCCCTGACCATCTCATGCTTTGTTTCCCTGACCATCCCATGCTTTGTTTCCCTGACCATCCCATGCTTTGTTTCCCTGACCATCCCATGCTTTGTTTCCCTGACCATCCCATGCTTTGTTTCCCTGACCATCCCATGCTTTGCTTCCCTGACCATCCCATGCTTTGCTTCCCTGACCATCTCATGCTTTGTTTCCCTGACCATCCCATGCTTTGTTTCCCTGACCATCCCATGCTTTGTTTCCCTGACCATCCCATGCTTTGTTTCCCTGACCATCCCATGCTTTGTTTCCCTGACCATCCCATGCTTTGCTTCCCTGACCATCCCATGCTTTGTTTCCCTGACCATCCCATGCTTTGTTTCCCTGACCATCCCATGCTTTGTTTCCCTGACCATCCCATGCCGCACTAGCTTCCCTAAGGCCAGCGTTTCCCACCAAACCCCCCTCGTCACCCCTTTCCCCCATGTTCCCACTCCCCACCCCTCTCCTCGCCAGTTTGTTCGTGCACAATTCAGACGGACTCATCATCACCAACAGCACGTTTGCTGACAACCGCCAGGGGCTGAACCTGCTGGGCAACACGGGCGTGAAGGTGACAGACAGCCGATTCATCGGGGTGACGCCCAACTATGGCAACCCCCGCATGTGTGACTCCACGCCGCAGATGTGTGGGCCTGTCACCGGCTGCGAGTGAGTATAGCTTGTGATGGGAGGGTTTCAGTGAGTATTGGGTGGAGCAGAGGGAGTGATGGAGTGAGGGAGCAGGGAGCAGACTAAGAGGGTGACAGACAGCCGGTTCATTGGGGTGACGCCCAAATATGGCAACCCGCGCATGTGTGACTCGACTCCGCAGATGTGTGGGCCTGTGGCCGGCTGCGAGTGAGTGTTGGGGTGGGGCAGGGGGAGTGAGGGAAGGGAGTGAGAGTGAGAGTGACAGACAGCCCCCTTGGTGTTCGTGCGGGTGTCTCCCTACTATGGCTACCTACGCATGTGTGACTCCACACCGCAGATGTGTGGGAAAGTGTGAGGGGTTGTGGGAGCGGAGGGAGTGAGAGAGAAGAGGGAGTGAGAGAGCAGAGGGAGTGAGAGAGCAGGGAGTGAGGGAGCAGAGGGAGTAAGGGAGCAGAGGGAGTGAAGGAGCGGAGGGAGTGAGGGAGCAAATGCAGTGACTGAGGCAGGCAGCAGAGGTAAGCTAGCAAATGTGTGAACGCACATAATTTCATGAATGTCTTTGCCCAAACTCAAAACCGTAATGCAGCTTCCCACTGGCGCCAGGGCAGCAGGGGCGGTCGCATTGGAAGACCCCCACCGTCGGCATCATCCATCTCACTCTCTGTGCTGTGCACGTGTGTGTGGGCATGTGCGTTGATGTGCCTCCCCCATGCAGCTTCCCCCTGGCTGCTGGGCAGCAGGGGCGGTCACAGGGGTGGTCGCACTGGAAGAACCCCATCTTTGGCATCATCATCGACCATCCCACCTTTGGATTCGACTTCGCCCGCGCCCACGCCATCTCCAACTGCCGGTCAGCCGCCTCAACACCCTGCTCTCTGTCCACCCACCCGTCCGCTCCGCTCCTGTCCATCCGTTGTCTCTCTGTGAATTTGTGCACCCGCTTTCTCTCCGACCGCTCCCCCCAACCTCGTACAACGACCTCTTTCTGCAATCCATCTCATCCCTCCCCACTGCACCGCACCCCTTGGAACCTCACACCATGGCGCCCCACTTGACTTCACTGCACTGAGCCCCTTTGCAGGTTCCACGCGTATGATAGCACGTGCCGCCTAGCTGCTGCCATTGGCGCGGGCATCAACGGAGCTCCCAAGGACACGTGGGCCACGGCCACCAGTGTGCAGGTGCGTGGGGTGGTTACCACATAACTCGTGGCTGTTTACTGTCGGGTGAGTGAGCGCCTTGCCTTGTTGTGTGGCATATGACTAGCTGCTGCCGGTACAAGGGTCCTGCCTCCTGCCAGGGGCACGGGCATCAACGGAGCTCCCAAGGACACGTGGGCCACGGCCACCAGTGTGCAGGTGAGATGAGAGCGTTAGTGTATGGCGGCTGCCTGAGCCTTACCATGTGCCCCTTCACTGGTGGCTGCACTGCACTGCACTACTGGTAGCAGTGAGCCTTACCATGTGCCCCTTCACTGGTGGCTGCACTGCACTGCACTACTGGTAGCAGTGAGCCTTACCATGTGCCCCTTCACTGGTGGCTGCACTGCACTGCACTACTGGTAGCAGTGCTCTCTGAGCACCGAGAGACCCCAGTGCTCTCTGAGCACCGAGAGACCCCAGTGCTCTCTGAGCACCGAGAGACCCCAGTGCTCTCTGAGCACCGAGAGACCCGTGCTCTGACCTTCCTGCAACCTCATTCCCCACCTCCACCTACGTTTCTATTTCGGTCATTTCTCATCTCAATGCCTCTCTCACTCACCCCATGTCAACCCCTGTGCCTGCCCGTCCCTCTCATCGCACCAGTCCCACTGACCTCTTTCTCCTCCTCGACCACATTTCTCCTTCTCCCCTCCATGCCCCCACCCCTCTCATCCCAACCCTCTCATCCCACCTCACTCGTCCCACCCCTCTCATCCAATCCTATCCCATCATGGCAGGCTGTGACAGGCACACCCGGCACCAACATGCTCTACTTTCCTCCCCGCAACTTCACCTTCCCCGTGAGTGCTGCTGCTCCCTTCCTCCCACCTGACCTCGCACGTGAGCTCTCCGTGAGGTCCCCGTGAGTGCTGCCAGCGGAAGCTCACTGCCCAACTCCTCTGGTGTGCACTTTGCCACCACTGCCCAACTCCTCCTCTGGTGTGCACTTTGCCACCACTGCCCAACTCCTCCTCTGGTGTGCACTTTGCCACCACTGCCCAACTCCTCCTCTGGTGTGCACTTTGCCACCACTGCCCAACTCCTCCTCTGGTGTGCACTTTGCCACCACTGCCCAACTCCTCCTCTGGTGTGCACTTTGCCACCACTGCCTATCCCCCACCCTGCTATGTTTGCCCCATACGTCTCAACTCAAGGGCCAGGACGCACGACGTGTTTGACGTGCCGGTACACTTCCCTTTCCCTTTCCCTTTCCCTTTCCTTTTCCCTTTCCCTTTCCCTTTCCTTTTCCCTTTCCCTTTCCCTTTCCCTTTCCTTTTCCCTTTCCCTTTCCCTTTCCCTTTCCCTTTCCCTTTCCTTTCCTTTCCCTTTCCCTTTCCCTTTCCCTTTCCTTTTCCCTTTCCCTTTCCCTTTCCCTTTCCTTTTCCCTTTCCTTTTCCCTTTCCCTTTCCTTTTCCCTTTCCCTTTCCCTTTCCCCTTGCTGCGGGCTTGCAGGCTGTGGGGTCACGGTTCTGAGCACGGGGTCACGGTTCTGAGCACGGGGTCACGGTTCTGAGCACGGGGTCACGGTTCTGAGCACGGGGTCACGGTTCTGCAGCACGGGGTCACGGTTCTGCAGCACGGGGTCACGGTTCTGAGCACGGGGTCACGGTTCTGAGCACGGGGTCACGGTTCTGCAGCACGGGGTCACGGTTCTGCAGCACGGGGTCACGGTTCTGCAGCACGGGGTCACGGTTCTGAGCACGGAGTCACGGTTCTGCAGCACGGGGTCACGGTTCTGAGCACGGGGTCAGTGATTGTGGCATCAGTGATCCACGTCTCCCACTGTCAGGGTCGCTTGCAACGACATCCGCCTCCCCACTCTCTCTCTCTTCTTCACTCCCCACCCATTACTACTTCCCACCCACCCCAAAAGGGAGGAGACGTGAACAGAGGAGGAGAGGCAACAGACCTGTACACCCTGTGGGACAAAGACGGCTCTCTGCTCAACGCCACTGCCGGAGGCTACCTGCTGGCAAACAACACCGCCCTGCTGCCCCCCACCAAGCGCTTCCCTGCTTGCCAGCCCGTGCCCGCTTGGAATGCCTATGCGTGCCCGGGGACATGCTACCGTACTGTCATGTTTACTTACCTGGAGCCGGGGTTTGCTGTGTATGCGAACAGCAGCGTGCCGGATACACGCAAGCGAGGGGACTTCAGGTGAGGGACTTCAGGTGAGGGACTTCAGGTGAGGGACTTCAGGTGAGGGACTTCAGGTGAGGGACTTCAGGTGAGGGGACTTCAGGTGAGGGACTTCAGGTGAGGGAACAATGGCTAATGGATGGGCGTGAGTGGATGAGTGGGTGGGGGGATGAGTGGGTGGGGGAAAGGAAAGGATGGATGGGGGAAAGAGTGGATGGGAGAAAGAGTGTATGGGGGAAAGAGTGGATGGGAGAAAGAGTGTATGGGGGAAAGAGTGGATGGGGGGATGAGGGGAGTGAGTGCCGGATGTGTGAACTGGATCAGAGTGGTGTTGATGGTGGTGTTGATGGTGGTGTTGATGGTGGTGTTGATGGTGGTGTTGATGGTGGTGTTGATGGTGGTGTTGATGGTGGTGTGGGACAGTTTGGGCTCACGCTGTCCCTGGTGGTTTTTTGAGATTCCTCAAGAGCTGTGCTGTCCCTGGTGGTTAACTCCTCTCATACCCTCCATCGCTTACCCTATTTGCTACACTAGACTTGTTACCCACTATTTGTTGCCCTCTTCCTGCCATCCCCTGCTCTCTGCTACTCCTCTCCCCGCCACCCCTCCACTCCCTATTACTCCCCCCCTCTCGCCGCCTCAGCTACCTCTCCATTCGGCGGCGCATAGAGGACGACACAGTCATCACAGTGGACGGCAAAATGCGATCTATCAGCAACCCATGATGCCCTTTTCTATGTCCCTGTATATTTCCACCCCTCTTCTGCCCCCTCCACCAACCCAGCTACCTCGCCATTCGTCGCATAGAGGACGACACAGTGATCACAGTGGACGGCAATCTGCGGTCGGTGGGCAACATGTGGACAGCAGGCCAGCGCATCTTCGTGGTGCCCCTGCTGGCGAACGCCACCTACGAGGTCAACATAGGGTTACCGGGTAACAACCGCGCCTTCTTCCCCAGCAACATCACGGTGCAATTGCGCGACAGCAACGGGTGTGGCGGGCCGGTGACTCTGAGGATTCCGGCGAAGCAGAGCAACCAATGGATGATCAAGGAGGAGCAAGACGTGAACTGGAAGTGAGTATTGCTGGGGCTGGTGCTGCTGCTGCTACTGTTTGTTGCTGGTGTGGTCACATAATTTATTAGTGGGCCTTGGGACTCTGAGAATCCCAGCGAAGCAGAGCAACCAGTGGATGACCAATGAGGAGCAAGACGTGAACTGGAGGTGAGTGAAGGTGCCTCTGCTGGTGCTGCTGGTGCTGAATGCTGATGGTTGTTCAAATTCAGGCCCACTTCCGGGCTGCCCTTTATTCACCCTCCACCTGCCCACGACTCTTCCCTTCCCCACTACGCTGCAGGGCCTGCGCGGGCACATCAGACAAAGCAGCGGTGCAGTTCTCATTCGTGTGCTTCAAGTTCAAGCCAACTCTCGAGCTCTTTTTCGACGGAACCTCCTCCAAGCCAATCGTGCTCCGCGCCTCCGCAAACCCCGTCACCGGCTGCCGCCTCCCCTAGTAAGCGCCTCCCCCACCACCTCTCCCCCATCGGTGATGGCAGGCATACCTGCATGCACCCCTGGTTCTATCCATCTCGTGTTGTTGCCACCCCTAAACCCTAAACCTCTAGTGGGCCACTGGAGTCCTCATGGGCGTACGATGTGAGTGGCAGGGATGGCAGGGAGCTGCATGCTTGGGTTGCACCTGTGCTTGTTCCCAACTGTCTATCCCTTACTGCCAGTCGCTGCGGCCTCGTGGCACTGGGGTCAACATGGGCATGCGACGTGAGTGGCAGGGAGCTGCATGCATCAGAGCTTGTCCAGTTTTAAGACTTCTCATTTTTGAGACGTCTCAAAACTGCAGCCTCGTGGCACCGTACCCAACATGGGCATGCGACATGGAGCTGCATGCAGCACTGCTTGTCCTCAATTCTCTCTGTTGCCATCCCTCCCCAATCCCACCCCCCTTTTCCACCAGTCGCTGCGGCCTTGTGGCACCGGGGTCCACGTGGGCATACGATGTCAGCGGCAGGGAGCTGCATGCGGCAGTGACGGGCGCCATGGGCTTCAGCTCTCCGCGCTTCAACGATGCCAGCTGGCCGCGAGGCCCGGCTATCATTGGCTATGTGGGATGTACGTGTGTGGGGGTGCTGGCATGGCTTGTGGTGTGTTGCTGCATGCAGCAATCTCGGGCGCCATGGGATTCATCTCAACGCGACGCTTCCTGGCCCCGCGGCCCTGCCATCATAGGCTATGATGACGGCATGTGGGTGAAGGCATGTGGTGAAGGCATGTGGTGAAGGCATGTGGGTACAGTACAGACAGCATGAGTGGCAGGGAGCTGCATGCGGCAATGACGGCGCCGTGGGCTTCAGCTCTCCGCGCTTCAACGATGCCAGCTGGCCCAGGGGACCCGCCATCATCGGCTATGTTGGTTGGATGTACGTGTGTGTGTGTGCGTGCGTGCGTGCGTGCGTGCGTGCGTGCGTGCGTGCGTGCGTGCGTGCGTGCGTGCGTGCGTGCGTGCGTGCGTGCGTGCGTGCGTGCGTGCACGTGTGTGTGTGCTGGCATATGGGTGGCATGGCATGTGAGTGAAGGCATGTGGGAACAGAAACACAGCATGAGCGGCAGGGAGGTGCATGCAGCATTGACGGGCTTCAGCTCTCCGCGCTTCAACGACACGTCCTGGCCCAGAGGACCAGCTATCATCGGTCATGCGAGATGTTACGTGTGTGTGTGGGGTGGCATGTGGTTGTTGTCAGACTGTGCGACCAGACAAGGCTCACAACGTGAGTGGCATGGCATCAAGCAGCATGCAGCAGTGACGGGCGCCATGGGCTTCCCTTTTCTGTTGGCACATGCTTCTTCCCCATCCTCCTTTCCTCCCCTCATCCCACCCGTTCAACCCCCCAGGGCGGTGGGTCGGCATCAACACATGGACACCCCCCTCAGGAGACGCCCTGCCCACCTTCTACTACCGGCGGCCGTTCCGAGTGGCCAACAGCGCGTGTGCCACGGGGCTGTATGTGGACGTGATCGTGAACGACGGCGTGCTTCTCTATCTCAACGGGGTGGAGATGCTGCGAGTCAACATGGCACCCGGCGCTGTGAATGTTTCCTCGAGGGTGAGTGAGACGCTAGTGGCTCTCAACCTTGAGACCGTGCTGCTGTGCGCGCATGTGCCAAGTGGTGCCAACAGCACATGTGCCACGGGCTGTATGTGGATGTGATAGTCAACGATGGCATGCTGCTGTACCTCAACGGGGTGGAGATGCTCCGAGTCAACATGGCTCCTGGTGCGGTCAACGTCTCCTCAAGGGTGAGTGAGACTGTAACAATACAGTGGTGAGACTATAGAATTCACTGCGTGGGACAGCATGGTGCTGTGCATGTGTGTGCCACGGGGCTGTATGTGGATGTGATAGTGAACGACCGCGTACTCCTCTATCTTAACGGGGTGGAGATGCTGAGAGTCAATATGGCACCTGGTGCTGTCAACGTGTGGTCGAGGCGAGGGTGAGATTATAACAATGCAGTGGGTTAGACAGGGGCTGCTGTGCGTGCATGCGTGTGCCACAGGGCTACATGTCATTGTGATAGTGAACGATGGTGTGCTGCTGTACCTGACTGGGTGGAGATGCTGGGAGTCAACATGGCTGCCGGCGCTGTCAAGGTGTCGTCACGGGTGAGAATCGCAAGAAGCGGTGTGCTGGTGGGGTGAGTAAAACTGTAACGTGTCCTCTAGGTTGAGACTTACACAAGACCTCTCTTCCATCTATGCCCCCCCAATCTCCCCAAACCCCGCTTCTATCTCGTTCTCCTCTCTCCTCCAGGCCCTATCCAACCAGAACGTGTGGGACTACACGTCCTTCTTCATCCCTCTCAACGCCACAGCACCCTTCTCTCTCGCGGAGGGCACCAACCACATCGCCGCCGAATCACACGCCGCCATCTGGACCACCGAGAACTTCTTTGACCTCAAACTGTCCGCCCAGATGGAGTGAGTTGTTTGGGCGAGAAGACAGAGAGTTGTTGGGTTGGGGGAAACGGTGGTATGGGGGAATGGATTGGAGGACTCAAGATACCCACCGCACTGCAATGCAGTCGCACGCCACCATCTGGACCACCGAGAAATTCTTTGAACTCAAACTGTCCGCCCAGATGGAGTGAGTTGTTTGGGCGTTCTGAGTTGTCTCAACAGATAGTGTGAGTGGCTGATTGCCGGCAGAGAGGTTGGTATGGTGGATTGGATTGATCGAAGGACCCAACCACATCGCTGCCGAGTGATCAACGGTGCCATCCCAATCCTTAACCTCAAGCTATCACCATCTTTGACCTCAAACTGTCACCATCTCTCTCCACTCTTCTCCTTCCTACCTCGTCTCCTCATTCTTCTCCTCGCTCTTCTCATTTCTCGTCTCGTCTTCTCCCCACCGAGCAGTAGCGCAACATGCAGTGGCGTGCTCATTCTACAGGAGGTGTGCGACGGGCTCGACAACAACAACGACGGTGAGCAACGGTGCATGGTGGTGCATGGTGGTGGATGGTGGCGCATGGTTGGTGAGGGGGACTGAACACACATAACGGTGGTCTCATTCTGCAGGTGTGAGACGGGCTCGACAACAACAACAACGATGGTGAGTCGGGGAATGGTAGTGAAAGGGTGGATAATGGTGGGACGATGGACGATTTGTGAGGGGGAAGGAATGAACAATCAGAAAACACACACCCTGCCTCCCACGCACCCCTGCTGTCCGTACCCGACCCTTACATGCACCTGTCGCTCCCATCGCTGCCACACCCCATCTCAACATTCCCCATCTCAACATTCCCTATCTCACTTTCTCCCATCTAACCTCTAGAATCTCACCCTCACACCGACAACAACCATCCTTGCCATACTCCCCCCCCCACAACCCCCCTCCCCACTCTCCCTCCTTCCCCACCCCCCTTCCCTCCTTACTTCCCTTCCCTCCCTACTCCCCCCTCTCCGCACTCCCCCTCCCCCCAATCCACAGGCAAGGTTGACATAGACCCACTGACCGACCGGCTTCTCACGCGCCCGTGCCATCCATGTGTGCACGTCACATGCACATCCCTTCCGAGGCTGCTCATTTCCCCCCTTCCACCTCCTTCCATCTAATCCAATCCACAGGCAGGGTGGACATAGACCCACTGACCGACCGGCTTCTCACGTGCCCGTGCCATCCATGTATGCACATCCCTTCCTTGGCCCCTCATACCCACCCCTCCCTCTCTCCCCTCCCCCCAATCCACAGGCAAGGTTGACATAGACCCACTGACCGACCGGCTTCTCACGCGCCCGTGCCGCAACCCCTGTGGGGCTGGTATTGAGACGTGCATTGATGGGGCGTTTCAGAACTGCACCGCGCCCGTCCACGGGCCTGAAGTGTGAGTGGTGTGCAGGGATGGGGAGTGGTGTGCGGAGGGGTTGGTGCATGGCACTGTCAGGGACTGTGAGTCGCCAGGACAAGAAGCAAGTTCTACACTTTATCCTTCCCAGTCCTTCACTCCCTTCTCCTCTCCAATGCTCTCTTGCCGTTCATCTTTTTCTCACTCCCCTCCTCTCCCCATTCAGCTGCAACGGGGTGGACGACAACTGTGACGGGCTCATCGACAACTCGCCCTCTCCAACCGCCGCTCGGCTCGACTGTGCCGACGGCTCCCTCTGCTTCAAGGGGCAGTGCCTGCCGTACGGCCCTCTCACCGCACCCGTCACAGTGATCAACAAGAGCGCTGCTGGCTGGCTGTACTACGATAAGGGGTACCTTCCGCAGTCCTACCCCACTTGGAGCACCAACAGGTGAGAGTGAGACCGTCGGACCATGGGAGAAAGGCAGCTTGGGACTGGATGTTACCTGTGCTTCAAGGGGCAGTGCCTGCCTTACGGCCCTCTCACTGTGCAGCTCACAGTGATCATGGTAGCGTCACCAACCTCTCGCAGCTCAACAGTGGTGACTCCGCCTACTTCCTCCTCAGGAGGAGCTCTCGCCCCAAAGCCCTCTCGCCCAGCCCACATCTTCCTGTCCCTTCCCCGCTTCCTTCCATTCCCCTCTGCCCCTCACAGCAACGTGCCAGCTCACCTACTCAAGGAGGGCGCAGCACCGTTTGGATTCAACTCAACATCGCCCACGGCCACCAACCTCTCTCTCGCAGCTCACCAGTGGTGCCTCTGCCTACTTCTTCCCCTCAAGTCCCACTCTCCCTCTCTGCCACTCTCCCTTGCGCCCCTCTGCCCCTCTCCCTTGCGCCCCTCTGCCACTCTCCCTTGCGCCCCTCTGCCACTCTCCCTTGCGCCCCTCTGCCCCTCTCCCTTGCGCCCCTCTGCCCCTCAACAGGAACGTGCCAGCGCATCTCGTGAAGGAAGGGACAGCCCCGTTTGGCTTCAACTCAGCGACAGCCGCGGCCACCAACCTGTCGCAGCTCACCAGCCTCTCTCCCCTCTGCCCCTCTCTGCCTCCACAGCAACGTGCCAGCACGTCTGCTAAAGGAGGGAGCAGCACCATTCGGCTACAACTCAGCGTCCCCCACGGCCACCAACCTGTCACAGCTCACCAGTGGCGACTCCGCCTACTTCTTCCTCAAGAGCTTTGCTCTCACAGAGGAGGAGGCCAACAACACCTGGAGCTACTGTGGGTTGCCGCCCCTCCTTTACCTGCGTCTCTTTCTTACCTGCGCCTCTTTTCATTGATCAACTGCTTTATACCTCCACCCACGACCTGCTGTTGTGTTGACCCTACTTGCCTCTTCCTCAAGAGCTATGCGCTCACAGAGGAGGAGGTCAGCAACACCTGGAGCTACTGTGAGTTGCAATCTCTGGGTCCCACACCCCCCTCCTCCACTTTACTCCATCCTCCTCCGGTCATTTCCTCCTCTAGAGCCCTCTCTTTTGTTATGACTCTGCTTTTCTCTCTCAAGGGTTTCGCCCTCACAGAGGAGCAGGCTGACAACACCTGGTGCTCTGCGAGTCAGCACCCTGAACCCGTGGTCAACAACACCTGGTGCTCACAGTTGGTTCTTTCCTTCAAGCCATCAGGTTCACTCCCCTTCCAAGTCCTGTTGCCTCTTCCCACGTCTTCCTCAAGAGCTTGGGGCGCTCCCTTATCCCTTGGAACCACAGAGCACCACTGCATTTCCCCGCACCTCATCACAACCACATTCTCGTCTCCCACTTCCTTTCAACCCCTCGTGTCTCTCTCATCCTCACTTGCCCGGTCCTTCCCCACTCCCCCACAGCCGCGTCCGTCCAGAGGGATGACCGAGCAGTGCTGCTGATGAGTGGCGCCGAGTGTTCTTCCGCTCCAACATGCCTTTGACTCCCGCTTTCTCCCCTCTCTCCCCCATTCCCCCGCCTCCCCACACAGCTGCGTCCGTCCAGAGGGATGACGGTGCTGTCCTCCTGATGAACGGAGCCGAGTTTTTCCGCTCCAACATGCCTGCTGGCCCCATCACCTCCGCATCCTTTGCTGCCACCGGCACGTGGGGGGCCGACAAAACCACCTTCTTCAACAGCACGCCCTTCCGATCCATCGCGCAGTTCCTGCAGGTAACGTATATTGTTCCTGCAAGGTAACATGGTTGCTGCAGGCAGCAGGATCACTGCAGGTATCCACTTACTACTGCATGTGACACGGCACGTGGGGGGCCGACAAGATCACCTGTTTCAACTGCACGCCCTTCCGATCCATCGCGCAGTTCCTGCAGGTAATACCTTCCCTTGGGTGATCCATGACCGCCTTCTTCAATACCCGAACTGCAGCGGGTAGAGCCGTCGCTTCTGGTGCTGCTTCTCTCAGGTATAACACCAGTCACAGCTGTTCAAGCACACTCTCTCTCTGCTCCCCCTGCAATCCTCTTCCCCCTCCCTGTCGCTACCCCCCCAAACCCACCAGCCGGGCACCAAATGGGTGGGTGTGCAGCTGCACCAGTCACAGCAGCCGAAGCATCTGACCTTCGCCAATGCCCGGATGCACATCCCTTGCACCCTCTCCCTCACATACTTCACTTCCCCCCATCGGCCGGGCACCAACTGGGTGGGAGAGCAGCTGCTTCAGACGCGCTAGTCCAACCTTTTCCATGCGAATGCTCCATACCCATCCGTTGCCTCCTCTCCCTCCCATACTCCCCCTCTCCCCACCACCAGCCCGGAACCAACTGGGTGGGAGTGCAGCTGCATCAATCGCGCTGGTCCAGTGATGCCCTCACCATGCCATGCGCCCCTGCTCCCTCCCCACATGCCCCACACCCTCTCTTCCTGCTGTGCCTCCCATCTCAGCCGGGAACCAACTGGGTGGGAGTGCAGCTGCATCAATCGCGCTGGTCCAGTGATGCCCTCACCATGCCATGCACCCCTGCTCCCTCCCCACATGCCCCACACCCTCTCTTCCTGCTGTGCCTCCCATCTCAGCCGGGAACCAACTGGGTGGGAGTGCAGCTGCATCAATCGCGCTGGTCCAGCGATGCCCTCTTCGATCTCGAGCTCACCCGCCACGCCATGCGCCCCTGTTCCGCCCTCGAAGGCTCGCCTGCTGCTTGTGTCCGCACACCCCCGGCTGACACTCTGCTGCTTGCGGTGAGATGCGATGCGCACAAACTTAGGATCAACTGGCTTGTGCCATGTGCCATACGCCATGCCATGCGCCCCTGCTCCGCTCTCGGAGGCTCTCCTTCAGCGTGTGTGCGCACGCCCCCGGCTGACACCCTGCTGCTTGCGGTGAGATATGATGCACACACACCTCGAGCTCACCCGCCACGCCATGCGCCCCTGCTCTGCTCTCAAAGGCTCTCCCTCTGCTTGTGTCCACACGCCCCCGGCTGACACCCTGCTGCTCGCGGTGAGAAGCGCACACACCTAAATCATAACCCGCATGTACCTTGCTGCCCTGCTCCGCCTCAACCGGTTACGATGGATGAGCTGCCATGTGCCACGCGCCATGCGCCATGTGACATCTGCCATGCGCCATGCACCATGTGCTATGTGCTATGTGCCATGCACCATGCACCATGCACCATGTGCCATCTCCCTGCTACTTCTCACACTCCCTCCGCTTTCCAACCCAACTTCTTTCCCTCTCCCTTCCCGCCTCTTCCCCTCCCCCTCTCTCCCTTCCTCTGCCCACCTTCCCTCCCTCCCCACCTTCCCTCCCTCCCTCCCTCCCTCCCTCCTTCCCTCCCTCCCTCCCTCCCTCCCTCCCTCCCTCCCTCCCTCCCTCCCTCCCTCCCTCCCTCCCTCCCTCCCTCCCTGCATGCAGCAAGGGTCCACATGGGCCTACAACGACGCCTCCCTGCCACCGCCCAACCCTGACACTTGGTTCCTGCCCTCCTTTGATGACTCTGCATGGCTCAAAGGTGCGTCTCAGAGACTAGAACGATACATGCCAACTGCCCTTCCCTCACTCCCTGCCTTTACCCCCTGACACCTGGTACCATTTTTTAGGCGCCTCAAAACCGCGAGTCATGAGACGATTTTTGAGGCGCCTCAAAAAAAGTTGCTCCCCTCGTTTGATGACTCTGCATACCTCAAAGGTGCGTCTTAGAGCAGCAGGGCAGCGTGCCCCACCAGCCTCACCCTCAACAGCACCACCACCGCTCCCACCACTCCTAGCACCTCCTCCACCACTGCCCGGCCCGCACGGCACACTACTTCCACCGCGCCTTCACTGTCACCGATGCTGCCTCGCTGCCTGTCACGTGGCCCTCACTTCTTCCTTCCTGCCCTCCCTCCCCCCTCTCCACCCAGGCCCCGCGTCCCTAGCAGCGGGCAACAGGGCGGGCACCAACCTCACTCTCAACAGCACCACCAGTACCAGCAGCACCCCCATCACTTCTTCACCCCTTTCCTCCCTTTTCCCCGCTCCCTTCCCCTTTCCCCACCACCCAGGCCCCGCGCCCCTAGCAGCGGGCAACAACAGGGCGGGCACCAACCTCACTCTCAACAGCACCACCAGCGGCTCACGAGTGGCACACTACTTCCGCCGCGCCTTCACTGTCACCGATGTTACCTGGCTACCTGCCACGTCACCCTCATTCTTTCCCCCCCTCCCCTCCCCTTTCCCCACCACCCAGGCCCTGCACCCCTAGCAGCGGGCAACAACAGGGCGGGCACCAACCTCACCCTCAACAGCACCACCAGCGGCTCACGAGTGGCACATTATTTCCGCCGCGCCTTCACTGTCACCGATGCTGCCTGCCACGTGGCCCTCACCGTCTCCTTCAACATTGCTGATGGCGCTGTGAGTGCTCCTCGCATCGATGCTCACATTTATGCCCTCCTATTGCCTTCACTGTCACCGATGCTGCCTGCCACGTGGCTCTCACCGTCTCCTTCAACATCGCTGATGGCGCCGTGAGTGCTTGCATCAGTGCTTGCGTCAGTGGATGGGTGTGCTTTCAGCTGTGCCAGTAGCTCGGTCCTAAGCCCACGCCTGTGCCATCTTATTGCCTTCACTGTCACCGATGCCGCCTGCCACGTGGCCCTCACCATCTCCTTCAACATCGCTGATGGCGCTGTGAGTGCTCAGTGCTTGCACCAGTGCTCGTGTCAGGGTGCATGGGTGTGCTTTCAGCTCTGTCCCGCCAGCCAGCTGGGCACTGTGCGCCATATCTGTGCCTTGCTGTTGACTCTCACTGCTGTGCTCTCTGCTGTGTGCCTCTCACATTCTCCCTCAACGTCACTGACGCCGCTGTGAGCTTTCCTGCCCATCACCACTCCCATTTCATCTTCCCGCCCACACCACACCTGTCCTCCTGTCCACCCGTGCCCACATTTCTGCCCACATCTCTGCACCTGCCCACATTCTTCCACACCTGTCCACCCGTGACACTCTTCCTCTCTGCTCTCCTTGCCCTTACATCTCCCCACTCTTCCCCCCTTCTTACCCCTATCCCCCTTTTCCCCCCCTTCCCACCTCCCCCTCTCGGGTGGTGTATCTGAATGGCGTCGAGGCATAACGCTTCCAGATGCTTTTCGAGACGTCTCAAATCTATCTCCCCCTCCCCCACACACCCCCCACTTCCCCCCCTGGCTTTAACCCCCATCAGGTGGTGTACCTGAACGGGGTCGAGGCGTACCGCTTCCAGATGCCGCCCCCCTCATGGGGCCCGGTCACGCCGGCCACCAACGCCACGGGCGGCTATGTGTGGCGGTGGGTGCCGTCCGTCCTGTCGGGTGGGTGGCTGCAGCAGGGGGCGAATGTGATCGCGGTGGAGGTGCATCAGCAGAGGAGCACCAACACTCTGCTCACGTTTGACGTGCAGGTTACCAGCAAGAGGGAGGCCATTGCCTGCACTCCTGCCCCACAGTAATACTCTGCTCACGTTTGGTCGTGAGAATTCTCAAAAAGGACCTACAAAGAAATGGATGCAGCAGGGGGCGAATGTGTTGGCAGTGGAGGGAAGGTGCATCAGCAGCAGAGCAATGAGGACCAACACTCTGCTCCCGTTTGAGGCGCGGGCTACCATCAAGAGAGAGGGCATTGCGTCCACCCCTGCCCCGCTGTAGCCTCTGATGCTATGATGATTCTGTAGAGATGCTACTGTCCATTTTGTACAATACGTGTAATATTGTAGGATACCTTAGGGTAGGTCATTTCTTTTATTGTATGATTGCGAATTCCGTACCAATGGAGCTTATGCTGGCTGGCACTGTACACGACATAAAATACCGTACTTTGTTTGCGGAAAGCCCATGAGTAAAGCTTTTGCTTCATTTCTTCAACTAGCATCAATAACGTGTTACCCTCCACAACCTATTGTCACTCTCAAAGCGAGCCATGAGGGTTCAATGCTCATGCTTATTTGGCATGGCAAACATCTGTTGCTGAGGGCAGTTCACCTCCAGTTTGCTGGCTCGTGCTTATTTGGCGGTAGTTGCTGACAGTCTTGAGAGCTCCTCTGCAAGGGGTGTGGTGGATGGGATGTATACAATACAGAGGGAAGAGCATATCAGGACTTACAAAGGACGACAAGGAAACAGGGATGTACCATAGAGATTAAAAGCAGGCCAAAAGACGCGTGACAAAAAGGAAAAACGGGAAAAGGTGCAGGCAGGATATGAACCTCCATTACTAAATCTTCCTACCTTGCTTCTTCTCCTTAAGCGTACTGCTGTCGGTGAGGAAAAAGATAGCGCCACGCTTCTGATAAGCAGCCTGCGAAAACATGGCACCATCTTTTTAAAAAGCAGTCTGTTGATAGTAGGGGAATTAAGAGGGAATAGCAGCCTAATCAGTCACTGCGCAAACAAAGAGTCTGACCCATTTCATTGGTGATTTCTATTTTTCCATGAACTATGCACAGCTGAGGATAACAGGACAAGGGTACGTACCCGGCCAGAAGGCGACTTTTGAGGCGCCTCAAAACTGAGCACAACGAGACGAGGAGGTACGTACCCGGCCAGAAGGCAATGAGGAGAGCTCAGCACAAGCCACCTGCAGTTCCTGCACCTGCTGAGGTAATGATACAGAGGGTATCTATAAGAATGCTTTATTTTGCGAAATCAAATTATAAGAACGCTTTCTTTTGTTCTAATCCAAGCAGAATTGTCGATTGAGCTGAGCAAACCTAGAAAGGAATTGTTACAGAAACGCACAGAAACAGCGGAGATCGCAGAAACAGGGAGTAGAGTAATACCTTCACGTTCAGCTCCTTCTGATGTTGTGGGGTGCTTGCCATACTGAGAAGCAAGGTTGGATCGGCAGACTCTAGTAAACCCTCTGAGGGAGGGAGGTCAGTGGCTACCAAAGATTTCTGCTCACCATTGAAAGGCGGGAAGGAAATGCAATTGAAGGAGGGGAATCGTGATGACGGGGCGCCCAGAGGAATCCACGTGTACCTCGAGAGCCCCTCAAGAAAAGGGAGTGCAACAACCACTGATATCATGTCACACCACAGACACAACGTAATGACTAATGGTTATTCACGCTGCAAGGGAGGTAATGGTGGGTGGTTGGTTCGGCTGCACGCTGAGTGGGTGGTTGGAAGTTCCAAAGTTCCAAAACAATAAACCATGTGCTTGAAAGGAGATATGACTTCTATACAGATGTCCCTCACCGAAATGAGCAGCAAGAGGCAACCCTTAACAAGGTGGGGAAGGGAGCTCACAAGTCCTTCAGCCTTGGAAGACAAAATTCAGAGGCTTGGCAGTGGTGTTGGCACTCAAAACACTGCCATGAAGTGGGGCGAATGAGGCAGGGTGAAGGGCAGCGGAATAGTGAGGGAATAACAGTGGATCAGTGGGCGAAGGGCAGTGGAATATGAGGGAAGAGCAGTGGAACAGAAGGGGAACGGCAGTGGAAGATTGAGGAATGGGGAGTAGCGGGGGTAAGGGGAGCTCGCGCATTGAGATTGCATCCGCTAGGGAAAGTGGGGTTGAGGGTTGTTCATTAAAGACGCTAACTGAGTGGACAGCATGATATTTTTCAGAGACGGGACTCAGAACAACTAACTTCACACAAAATCCGCAGCCATGAATTGACACCACGGCACCTACTTGGCGCTCCGTCGCATGCGGAGGTGCGCTCGACAGCAGGAAACTAGAGGGGAACTTGCTTCGAGCCGCTTCAGAAAAAGAACTATTCTAGACAGGAACGCGGAGCCAAAATGGCTCGACGGCTCGCAGTGGCGGATGTCCCCGCACTCTGGTAAGATGCGTATGGGCAATCGCCTATGTCACGCTCACTCGCGCGTCTTGCTTGTTTCGGTGGCCAATAATTTGACACTCCAGTACTTGGTTGCGCGAGACTCGTCAGGGCTTTTCAGGGATCGTCAACCCTAAGATTCCGACCTGATCTAGTTGTGCTCAGATAGCCAGCGACACTCTCGCTGCTCAAGCGCGCCGCGCGATACCCTCTAGCCATGGATTGGCACTGCTGACTGTTGATGTTTTGCGTCCTGTTGTTGTGATTCCTTCCCCACTCTCACAGAGAGCACACAAACATTGTGCGAACTTCGTGAGATGGGCTGAACGACAACTTCAGTAACCAGAGAGGTACGCGACACTCGGTTAACAATTTCGACACTTCACAACCTCGCGTACCAATCGCGTCGGTCCGACCAAACAACGAATGTCCAAATAGCCTTTGGAACTCGTTGAAGGGGTTCACTGGGTGGAGTGGACTCCACCCACATGCCTATGCTCTCAGGGTGCATTCCTGGTTGGTGGCAGGGCAACTGTTCACATCGAGTTGGTGGCAAGTGTACCCAAAAATTCAGTGGGCCGGAAAATGCGCTTGCCACCAACAGTTGCCCTGCCACCAACTCAGGAATGCACCCTCAGATTCGCAAGCCACATTTCCCAGCGAGCTACAGTGGAGTGCTAGCGCGGGTGAAACTCTGACAGCTTCAGGGTAGATTCTAGGTTCCAGTTTCACAAGCCAGTCGTTTAGCAACTTAACTAGAGCCATGGGCCGGTTCGCGTGGATTCTCATCGCGCTCTTCGCCCTCCTATCAGCTACGTCCACGTCAGCGCTTGTCTTCACGCTGCTCAAACGCGAGTGCTTCCAGCATTTCGTGCCGAAAGGCGGCGAGACCGTCCACGTGTCGTTCGTCGTGATCAAATCAGATTACAACTGGGGAGGCGGGGAGCAGGCGAAAATCGATTTAACGGTAAACAGCCACTAGGATCTGCTCATCATGACGCAATAGTAGGTCGAATCTTCTCATCCATTCTCACAGAAAGCATCGACGAAACAAGACTCGAAGCCCTCTTTCGGAGCGTGGCTTTCGAAGTCATCGTCGTCGCGCACACACCCGTCAGGTGTTTTGAGACTTCTAGACTTCTTAGGTTTTGCTCATCGTGCACACACGCGTCAGGTGTTTTGAGACTTCTAGACTTCTTAGGTTTTGCTCATCGTGCACACACGCGTCAAGTGGAGGCCTTTCGTCGTATGTTCCTCTCTAATTCGTTGGAATTCTCATGTGGAGGACCCCCAGGAGACACGCGGTTCGGATCATTGCTGCTGGTCGCGTGCTCAAACCACCAGGTGGAGACCTCAGGGGCCACGTGGTGCGGAAGGAAAAGGCGAGGAGGCAACGTAAAGGCACTTTGACCTCGCCGTTGTGCACCCTCCTCCCCTCCTCTCCCCTCGCCTCCTCCCCCCTCCTCTTCCCCGCCTCCTTCGTGAATTCTACGACCCAAGGTGGAGGATCCCCAAACCACGAGGTACGGAAGGTGGAGGCGACGTGTTTCTTTGCCCCCTTCTCCTACTTCGGCGCTCCTCCATTCTCCCCCCACCCCTCCCCCGTGAATGCGACCGCCAGGTGGAGGACCCAAGGGGCCACGTGCTGCGCAAGATAGAGGCGAGGACGGACGACAACTTCATGGTCACTGCTGCCGTTGACGGCTTCTTCAAGTTCTGCTTTACGACTGACTCCGCTGTGCACGAATCCGTGGCGTTCGATGTGGAGAACGGCCACCCAATCACCACTGAACACGTGGCAAAGAATGGTGAGGCGACAATGAAAAAGGGGGCACATTGCAAAGAAAGTTGAGTTAACAATAGTAAATGGGAAATATGGCAAAGACCAATAATCTAGCAATGGGGCAACAAAGAGTGGCTCTTTATTTGAGTGCAATGCTTGGGGGCCAGGTCTCAAGTTTTTCAGGCTCGTATGTGGCCCTTCTTGTATGTGCGCACCAAGCATGCCAATCCCTGCAACTGAGCGGCTCTTACTCACACATGCCCCGTCTCTCTCCTCTGTTCTTGCCCATGCGTCTGTCCTATGCGGTCGCTCATGCCTCTGTGCTTGCTATTCTTGTGTGCATGCCCGTGCCTCTGCATGTGCATGCGAGCAGATCAAATCGAGCCACTGGTGAAGGAGGTGCATCGGCTGCAGAGGGAGGTGATGCGCACCAAGCATGAGATCCACTACTCCTTCTACCTCGCCGAGCAGCATGCAGAGGGTGAGTGGCATTGTGGCAGTGCTTCTGGGGTTTTTCTAGGTAGCACGGGTTGGTTTGAGGGGTGGATGGGCATGATTGCAGCACGAGGAGGGAGGGAGGTGATGCGCACCATGGATGGGATCCACTACTCCTTCTACCTCGCCGAGCAGCATGCAGAGGGTGAGAGAGTGGTAGCACGGCAAGATGAGGATCTTGATAGCAGGGGGTTGCGTTGAGGGTTTACGTGCGCCATTTCTGCACAGGGAGAGGTGATGCACACCAAGCATGGGATCCACTGCTCCTTCTACCTCGCGGAACAGCATGTAGAGGGTGCGTGACGTGGTGGGGGTTTGAGGCACAAAGAGAGGGAGAGCAGCACACAGAGGGCGATTGGCACTGCGTGGAGGTGGTTTGAATAAGGAAAGAGCAGCACATAGAGAATGACTGGCCATGCTCCTGCCTATGCTCGTACCTATGCTCCTTCCTATGCTCGTACCTATGCTCGTGCCTATGCTCGTACCTATGTTCGTGCCTATACTCGTACCTATGCTCGTACCTATGTTCGTGCCTATGCTCGTACCTATGCCTATGCCTATGCTCGTACCTATGCTCATGCCTGTGCTCGTCGTACCTATGCTGGTGCCTATGCTTGTACCTATGCTCGTACCTATGCTCGTGCCTGTGCTCGTACCTATGCTCGTGCCTGTGCTTGTACATATGCTCCTGCCTATGCTCGTACCTATGCTCGTACCTATGCTCGTGCCTGTGCTCATCGTACCTACGCTCGTACCTGTGCTCGTACCTATGCTCGTACCTATGCTCGTACCTATGCTCGTACCTATGCTCGTACCTATGCTCGTACCTATGCTCGTGCCTATGCTCGTACCTATGCTCGTACCTATGCTCATGCCTATGCTCGTACCTATGCTCGTACCTATGCTTGTACCTATGCTCGTACCTATGCTCGTACCTATGCTCGTGCCTGTGCTCGTATCTATGCTCCTGCCTATGCTCGCACCTATGCTCCTGCCTATGCTCGTACCTATGCTCCTGCCTATGCTCGTACCTATGCTCATACCTATGCTCCTGCCATGCTCGTACCTATGCTCGTGCCTATGCTCGTACCTATGCTCGTGCCTGTGCTCGTACCTATGCTTGTGCCTGTGCTCGTACCTATGCTCCTGCCTATGCTCGTACCTATGCTCGTACCTATGCTCGTACCTATGCTCGTACCTATGCTCGTGCCTATGCTCGTACCTATGCTCGAACCTATGCTCGTGCCTATGCTCGTACCTATGCTTGTACCTATGCTCGTACTTATGCTTGTACCTATGCTCGTACCTATGCTCGTACCTCTGCTCGTGCCTGTGCTCGTATCTATGCTCCTGCCTATGCTCGTACCTATGCTCCTGCCTATGCTCTTACCTATGCTCGTACCTATGCTCGTACCTATGCTCGTGCCTGTGCTCGTGCCTATGCTCGTGCCTGTGCTCGTACCTATGCTCCTGCCTATGCTCGTACCTATGCTCGTACCTATGCTCGTACCTATGCTCGTACCTATGCTCGTGCCTATGCTCGTACCTATGCTTGAACCTATGCTCGTGCCTATGCTCGTACCTATGCTTGTACCTATGCTTGTACTTATGCTTGTACCTATGCTCGTACCTATTCTCGTACCTCTGCTCGTGCCTGTGTTCGTATCTATGCTCCTGCCTATGCTCGCACCTATGCTCGTGTCTATGCTCGTGCCTGTGCTCGTACCTGTGCTCGTACCTATGCTCGTGCCTATGCTCGTACCTATGCTCGTACCTATGCTCGTACCTATGCTCCTACCTATGCTCGTACCTATGCTCGGACCTATGCTCGTGCCTGTGCTCGTATCTATGCTCTTGCCTATGCTCGCACCTATGCTCCTGCCTCAGCTCGTGCCTGTGCTCGTACCTATGCTCGTACCTATGCTCGTGCCTGTGCTCGTATCTATGCTCCTGCCTATGCTCGTACCTATGCTCGTACCTATGCTCGTGCCTGTGCTCGTACCTATGCTCGTACCTATGCTCGTACCTATGCTCGTACCTATGCTCGTACCTATGCTCGTACCTATGCTCATGCCTATGCTCGTACCTATGCTCGTACCTATGCTCGTACCTATGCTCGTACCTATGCTCGTACCTATGCTCGTGCCTATGCTCGTATCTATGCTCGTACCTATGCTCCTGCCTATGCTCGTACCTATGCTCATACCTATGCTCCTGCCTATGCTCGCACCTATGCTCCTGCCTATGCTCGTACCTATGCTCCTGTCTATGCTCGTACCTATGCTCATACCTATGCTCCTTCCTATGCTCGTACCTATGCTCGTGCCTATGCTCGTACCTATGCTCGTGCCTGTGCTCGTACCTATGCTCGTGCCTGTGCTCGTACCTATGCTCGTACCTATGCTCGCACCTATGCTCGTACCTATGCTCGTATGCTCGTGCCTATGCTCGTACCTATGCTCGTACCTATGCTCGTGCCTATGCTCGTACCTATGCTCGTCCCTATGCTCGTACTTATGCTCGTACCTATGCTCGTACCTATGCTCGTGCCTGTGCTCGTATCTATGCTCCTACCTATGCTCGCACCTATGCTCGTGCCTATGCTCGTGCCTGTGCTCATACCTATGCTCGTGCCTGTGCTCGTCGTACCTATGCTCGTGCCTATGCTTGTACCTATGTTAGTACCTATGCTCGTGCCTGTGCTCGTACCTATGCTCGTGCCTGTGCTTGTACCTATGCTCCTGCCTATGCTCGTACCTATGCTCGTACCTATGCTCGTGCCTGTGCTCATCGTACCTATGCTCGTACCTGTGCTCGTACGTATGCTCGTACCTATGCTCGTACCTATGCTCGTACCTATGCTCGTACCTATGCTCGTACCTATGCTCGTGCCTATGCTCGTACCTATGCTCGTACCTATGCTCGTGCCTATGCTCGTACCTATGTTCGTACCTATGCTCGTACCTATGCTCGTACCTATGCTCGTGCCTGTGCTCGTATCTATGCTCCTGCCTATGCTCGCACCTATGCTCCTGCCTATGCTCGTACCTATGCTCCAGCCTATGCTCGTACCTATGCTCATACCTATGCTCATACCTATGCTCGTACCTATGCTCGTGCCTATGCTCGTACCTATGCTCGTGCCTGTGCTCGTACCTATGCTCGTGCCTGTGCTCGTACCTTTGCTCCTGCCTATGCTCGTACGTATGCTCATACCTATGCTCGTACCTATGCTCGTACCTATGCTCGTGCATGTGCTCGTACCTATGCTCGTGCCTGTGCTCGTACCTATGCTCGTGCCTGTGCTCGTGCCTATGCTCGTACCTATGCTCCTGCCTATGCTCATACCTATGCTCGTACCTATGCTCGTACCGATGCTCGTACCTATGCTCGTACCTATGCTCGTACCTATGCTCGTACCTATGCTCGTACCTATGCTCGTACCTATGCTCATGCCTATGCTCGTACCTATGCTCGTACCTATGCTCGTACCTATGCTCGTACCTATGCTCGTACCTATGCTCGTGCCTATGCTCGTATCTATGCTCGTACCTATGCTCCTGCCTATGCTCGTACCTATGCTCATACCTATGCTCCTGCCTATGCTCGCACCTATGCTCCTGCCTATGCTCGTACCTATGCTCGTGTCTATGCTCGTACCTATGCTCATACCTATGCTCCTTCCTATGCTCGTACCTATGCTCGTGCCTATGCTCGTACCTATGCTCGTGCCTGTGCTCGTACCTATGCTCGTGCCTGTGCTCGTACCTATGCTCGTACCTATGCTCGCACCTATGCTCGTACCTATGCTCGTATGCTCGTGCCTATGCTCGTACCTATGCTCGTACCTATGCTCGTGCCTATGCTCGTACCTATGCTCGTCCCTATGCTCGTACTTATGCTCGTACCTATGCTCGTACCTATGCTCGTGCCTGTGCTCGTATCTATGCTCCTACCTATGCTCGCACCTATGCTCGTGCCTATGCTCGTGCCTGTGCTCATACCTATGCTCGTGCCTGTGCTCGTCGTACCTATGCTCGTGCCTATGGTTGTACCTATGTTAGTACCTATGCTCGTGCCTGTGCTCGTACCTATGCTCGTGCCTGTGCTTGTACCTATGCTCCTGCCTATGCTCGTACCTATGCTCGTACCTATGCTCGTGCCTGTGCTCATCGTACCTATGCTCGTACCTGTGCTCGTACGTATGCTCGTACCTATGCTCGTACCTATGCTCGTACCTATGCTCGTACCTATGCTCGTACCTATGCTCGTGCCTATGCTCGTACCTATGCTCGTACCTATGCTCGTGCCTATGCTCGTACCTATGTTCGTACCTATGCTCGTACCTATGCTCGTACCTATGCTCGTGCCTGTGCTCGTATCTATGCTCCTGCCTATGCTCGCACCTATGCTCCTGCCTATGCTCGTACCTATGCTCCAGCCTATGCTCGTACCTATGCTCATACCTATGCTCATACCTATGCTCGTACCTATGCTCGTGCCTATGCTCGTACCTATGCTCGTGCCTGTGCTCGTACCTATGCTCGTGCCTGTGCTCGTACCTTTGCTCCTGCCTATGCTCGTACGTATGCTCATACCTATGCTCGTACCTATGCTCGTACCTATGCTCGTGCATGTGCTCGTACCTATGCTCGTGCCTGTGCTCGTACCTATGCTCGTGCCTGTGCTCGTGCCTATGCTCGTACCTATGCTCCTGCCTATGCTCATACCTATGCTCGTACCTATGCTCGTACCTATGCTCGTACCTATGCTCGTACCTATGCTCGTACCTATGCTCGTACCTAACGAGCACAGGCAAGAGCATAGGCAGGAGCATAGATGCGAGCATAGGCAGGAGCATCGATACGAGCACAGGCACGAGCATAGGTACGAGCACAGGCACAAGCATAGGTACGAGCATAGGTACAAGCATAGGTACGAGCATAGGTACAAGCATAGGTACGAGCATAGGTACAAGCATAGGCACGAGCATAGGTACGAGCATAGGTGTGAACACAGGCACGAGCATAGGTACGAGCACAGGCACGAGCATAGGTACGAGCATAGGTACGAGCATAGGTACGAGCATACGTACGAGCATAGGTACGAGCATAGGTACGAGCATAGATACGAGCACAGGCACGAGCATAGGTACGAGCATAGGTACGAGCATAGGTACGAGCACAGGCACGAGCATAGGTACGAGCACAGGCACGAGCATAGGTACGCGCATAGGTACGAGCATAGGTACGAGCATAGGTACGAGCATAGGTACGAGCACAGGCACGAGCATATGCAGGAGCATAGGTACGAGCATAGATACGAGCACAGGCACGAGCATAGGTACCAACATAGGTACGAGCATAGGCACGAGCATAGGTACGAGCATAGGCACGAGCATAGGTACGAGCATAGGTACGAGCACAGGCACGAGCATAGGCAGGAGCATAGGTGCGAGCATAGGCAGGAGCATAGATACGAGCACAGGCACGAGAATACGTACGAGCATAGGTACGAGCACAGGCACGAGCATAGGTACGAGCAGCTCGTACCTATGCTCGTACCTATGCTCGTACCTATGCTCGTACCTATGCTCGTACCTATGCTCGTGCCTATGCTCGTTCCTATGCTCGTGCCTGTGCTCGTACCTATGCTCGTGCCTATGCTTGTACCTATGCTCGTACCTATGCTCGTACCTATGCTCGTGCCTGTGCTCGTACCTATGCTCGTGCCTGTGCTCGTACCTATGCTCGTACCTATGCTCCTGCCTATGCTCGTACCTATGCTCGCACCTATGCTCGTACCTATGCTCGTACCTCTGCTCGTACCTATGCTCGTACCTATGCTCGTACTTATGCTCGTGCCTGTGCTCGTACCTATGCTCGTACCTATGCTCGTGCGTGTGCTCGTAGCTATGCTCGTACCTATGCTCGTGCCTGTGCTCGTCGTACCTATGCTGGTGCCTATGCTTGTACCTATGCTCGTACCTATGCTCGTGCCTGTGCTCGTATCTATGCTCCTGCTTATGCTCGCACCTATTCTCCTGCCTTTGCTCGTTCCTGTGCTCGTACCTATGCTCGTACCTATGCTCGTGCCTGTGCTCGTACCTATGATCGTGCCTATGCTCGTACCTATGCTCGTACCTATGCTCGTGCCTGTGCTCGTATCTATGCTCGTTCCTATGCTCGTACCTATGCTCGTACCTATGCTCGTACCTATGCTCGTACCTATGCTCGTACCTCGTACCTATGCTCGTACCTGTGCTCGTGCATGTGCTCGTACCTATGCTCGTGCCTGTGCTCGTACCTATTTCTCGTGCCTGTGCTCGTACCTATGCTCGTACCTATGCTTCTGCCTATGCTTGTACCTATGCTCCTACCTATGCTCGTACCTATGCTCGTACCTATGCTCGTACCTATGCTCGTACCTATGCTCGTACCTATGCTCGTACCTCGTACCTATGCTCGTACCTATGCTCGTGCCTGTGCTCGTACCTATGTTCGTGCCTGTGCTGGTACCTATGCTCGTGCCTGTTCTCGTACCTATGCTCGTACCTATGCTTCTGCCTATGTTTGTACCTATGCTCGTAACTATGCTCGTACCTATGCTCGTACCTATGCTCGTACCTATGCTCGTACCTATGCTCGTACCTATGCTCGTGTGTGTGCTCATACCTATGCTCGTACCTATGCTCGTGCCTGTGCTCGTATCTATGCTCCTGCCTATGCTCGCACCTATGCTCCTGCCTATGCTCGTGCCTGTGCTCGTACCTATGCTCGTACCTATGCTCGTGCCTTTGCTCGTACCTATGCTCGTGCCTATGCTCGTACCTATGCTCGTACCTATGCTCGTACCTCAGCTCGTGCCTGTGCTCGTTCCTATGCTCGTGCCTATGCTCGTACCTATGCTCGTACCTAGGCTTGTACCTGTGCTCGTACCTATGCTCGTACCTATGCTCGTACCTATGCTCGTTCCTATGCTCGTGCCTGTGCTCGTACCTATGCTCGTACCTATGCTCGTGCCTGTGCTCGTATCTTTGCTCCTGCCTATGCTCGCACCTATGCTCCTGCCTATGCTCGTGCCTGTGCTCGTACCTATGCTCGTACCTATGCTCGTTCCTGTGCTCGTACCTATGATCGTGCCTATGCTCGTACCTATGCTCGTACCTATGCTCGTACCTATGCTCGTGCCTGTGCTCGTATCTATGCTCGTACCTATGCTCGTACCTATGCTCGTACCTATGCTCGTACCTATGTTCGTACCTCGTACCTATGCTCGTACCTATGCTCGTACCTCGTACCTACGCTCGTACCGATGCTCGTGCCTGTGCTCGTACCTATGCTCGTTCCTGTGCTCGTACCTATGCTCGTGCCTGTGCTCGTACCTATGCTCGTACCTATGCTCCTGCCTATGCTGGTACCTATGCTCGTACCTATGCTCGTACCTATGCTCGTACCTATGCTCATACCTATGCTCGTACCTATGCTCGTACCTATGCTCGTGCCTGTGCTCATGCCTATGCTCGTACCTATGCTCGTGCCTGTGCTCGTATCTATGCTCCTGCCTATGCTCGCACCTATGCTCCTGCCTATGCTCGTGCCTGTGCTCGTACCTATGCTCGTGCCTATGCTCGTGCCTGTGCTCGTACCTATGCTCGTGCCTATGCTCGTACCTATGCTCGTACCTATGCTCGTACCTATGCTCGTGCCTATGCTCGTTCCTATGCTCGTGCCTATGCTCGTACCTATGCTCGTACCTATGCTCGTACCTATGCCCGTACCTATGCTCGTGCCTATGCTCGTACCTATGCTTGTGCCTATGCTCGTACCTATGCTCGTACCTATGCTCGTACCTATGCTCGTACCTATGCTCGTGCCTATGCTCGTACCTATGCTCGTGCCTATGCTCGTACCTATGCTCGTACCTATGCTCGTACTTATGCTCGTACCTATGCTCGTACCTATGCTCGTATCTATGCTCCTGCCTATGCTCGTGCCTGTGCTCGTACCTATGCTCGTGCCTATGCTCGTGCCTGTGCTCGTACCTATGCTCGTGCCTATGCTCGTACCTATGCTCGTACCTATGCTCGTACCTATGCTCGTGCCTATGCTCGTACCTATGCTCGTGCCTATGCTCGTACCTATGCTCGTACCTATGCTCGTACCTATGCTCGTACCTATGCTCGTGCCTATGCTCGTACCTATGCTCGTGCCTATGCTCGTACCTATGCTCGTACCTATGCTCGTACTTATGCTCGTACCTATGCTCGTACCTATGCTCGTATCTATGCTCGTGCCTGTGCTCGTACTATTCTTGTGCGTGTGCTCTTACCTCTGCTCGTGCCTGTGCGCGTGCCTGTGCTCGTACCTATGCTCGTGCCTGTGTAACAGGCCACTTTTCCAGGAAATCCTGGCCAAGACATGTACTCTCATCTGCTCCTGTGCTTGCACCCTCCCGCCCTCCCGTACTTGCTGTGCATAAGTGGTCAGCACTGAGAGGCACTGGTAGAGGCAGTGCTACATGCAGTGTCCATACCTTCTGCTCTGTGTGCCCCCTGCCACTCACCCCTTTGCCCCTTCAGTGTTCAAGTGGACAGCACAGAGAATTTTCGACACACCAGTTGCCACAGGCAGGCACTATGACCTGTGCTCTCTGTGTGCTCCCCCACCCGCCCTCACTATGACTTTGTTTGCCTTTCCTGCTCCCTCCCCCTCCCCCCTCCAGTCACTAAGTGAACGGCTCAGAGAGTTCTCGCCAAGGCAGCTGCGAGATCCAGCTAGCTTGACGTGTTCTCTCTGTGTGCCCCACCACCTGCCCCTTCCTCCTCTCCCCCCTCTAGCGGACAAGTGGACGGCACAGAGAGTTCTCGCCAAGGCAGTGCTGCAGGCAGCCTCTGAGACTTGTGTTCCGTTTGCCTTTCCTGGCCCCTCCCCCTCCACCCTTCAGTGGACAAGTGGACGGCGCAGAGAGTTCTCGCCAAGGCAGCTGCCACAGGAAGGCATCACGACTTGTGCTCTCTGTGTGCTCCCCCACCCTCCCTCCTCGCCACCCCTCCCCCTTCAGTGGACAAGTGGACGGCACAGAGAGTTCTCGCCAAGGCTGTGCTACAGGCGGGTGCACTCATAACGTGTGGGATCATACAAGTGTGCCTGCTGCAGCGGCTCTTTGAAAAGAGGCTCAAGATGAGCCGCGTGTAACCCAGTCCCCGGACTCGCTAGATGAGTGGAAAGGCATGAGGAGGATCGGGGGGAAGTGAATTTCAGTAACAACCTTAGCAGTGGTGCTGAGTGGAAAGGCACCAGGAGTATAAAGGGGAGGTGGGAGGGGGAGAAGTGGAAGGAAGGGGAGGAGGGGGCGTTAGGGGTATATTAAGGGCTGGAGATGCGGTGGTGATGACAAGAACGAGAGGAGCAAAGGACCAACCCGTTTGCTGCTGCGGTTGTGGGATTTTTGGAGCTACTGTAGTTGCTGTTAATGCTCCAGCATAGCAATGAGGCTGTAGGAGATTGAAGATGCAGCAGCGTGCTGTAATGAGCAGAATCACAAGTCTTTAAAATGCTAGCATCATGCTTCTTCAATGTGTAGGGATACGTTTATATTCTAATAAGGTCATACACTAGCTGATTGCTGTCAATCCAAGTCCAGTTTTCCATGTCAAGTAGGTTAGACCCATCAAAGGGTTGTTTGGGATGTGCTGAACTGAAAGAGTTCTCTTTCATATAAGCCACAAATACTGTAAGAAGTCTCAAGTACTATGGTGCCACAGCATTCGCTTTCAAGCACTATATTGAAGACATACATGAATAAGCCTACACAAGATGAGCAACTAGTGTCTACGAGCACCAGCCCAGAGCCATCCCTTGGGGAGCGCTCCAGGCCAGAGCCATCCCTTGGGGAGCGCTCCAGGCCAGAGCCATCCCTTGGGGAGCGCTCCAGGCCAGAGCCATCTCTTGGGGAGCGCTCCAGGCCAGAGCCATCTCTTGGGGAGCGCTCCAGGCCAGAGCCATCCCTTGGGGAGCGCTCCAGGCCAGAGCCATCTCTTGGGGAGCGCTCCAGGCCAGAGCCATCCCCTGGGGAGCGCTCCAGGCCAGAGCCATCCCTTGGGGAGCGCTCCAGGCCAGAGCCTTCCCTTGGGGAGCGCTCCAGGCCAGAGCCATCCCTTGGGGAGCGCTCCAGGCCAGAGCCATCCCTTGGGGAGCGCTCCAGTCCAGTCCCCGCAAGAGTGCAAACCTTGGCTTGATGCCAACCTGGAGCTGAGGACTCAAAGCAGAGCCACACCTGAATGGCAGCAGATTATCATCCTTCCAACCCCCACCAATTCCCAACCCACTCTCCCGAACACCCTGACAAGCAGGGTGCAAAAAAGAGACCTACCATCATCCCACTTCCCCACCTCCCAACCACCTTCCCACTGCTGCAATCTTCTCGAGGCTATGCTTTAGTGCTTTTCACCTTCATCCAGCTGGAGTGTGCATTTGCTGCTTCTCAGCCGACTTTTTTTTTTTTTTTTTTTTTAGCAGTTCTTTTTTTTTTGTCTTTTTTTTTGTTATCCAGGAGGTAATCAGGTCCCCTTTCCCACGGGGATCCTCTGGGAGGTTCCCTTTCTCATGTGTGCAGTCACGTTGGAGGTCAAAATCAGGTCCCCTTTTCCACTGGGAGGTTCCCCAAGGGAGGTCCCCTTTCTCATGTGTCTCAGGTGCAGGTCTTGGTAGATCAGCAAGTTGGAGGGTGGAGCTTGCAACGAGTTACAGCGGTGCTTACGGCCGCCACGGACGCCGTGAGCTCGCAACCAGTGCCACCTTGGACGACGATACAGCACGAAGCTTCTTCACTGGAGCCGCGGGAATCGCATCACTCCTGCCTTCGAGCTGCTTCGCGCCATTGGAACTCCTTCTTCGCACCTGCTTCTCAGCTGCTGCGGCTCCTGCGGGTCGCGGAATCAACGTCGTCCCCTCCGCGCGGCTTTTCACGATCGTTCTTTGACCGCTTGGTTTGGGGATGCGAGACGGCAGCAGGAGTGACGCATGATGTACTGAACGAGTCGCAGCTGCCTTCGCCAAGCCAGCTGCTTTGGCCGTCGGAGAAACTTCAGCCGGCGGCGGCGTCACCGGTTCGGATGCCACTGGTTCGGACGTTACCGTTTCAGACGTTAATTGTCCCGCGGTGGTGGTTTCCGAGGTCACAGCCGGTACAGAGGCCACCAAATCTGTCGTTTCCCGATCTGGCATCGACGGATCAGAGGACGTCGGATCGGACGTCATCGGATCCAGCGACGTCGTCGAACCGTGCGATGCTGCAGCTTCAACAAGACAGGCGTCGCTGCGGCTGGCGTCGTCGAAGGTCTCAGTGCTTGTGTCAGCGCAGGAGAGCACCGCGTCGCTGGCCTCCCTGCAGCAGGACGTCAGGCTGAGGCTGCTAACCTGGCGGAGTTTGCTCGCGTTGGAGGAGCTCCGAGGCTGCAGTGATGGCTGCGTCGGTTTGTTGCTATTGAGGCTCTTCCAGAAGCTAAAAGCGTTGTTGAAGTACGACGGGTAGTCTGAGGCCATGGTGCCGATATCTTCACGAGATAAGCAAACGTCAAGGTAGTCTTAAACACTAGAGCTGATAGTGTGAACAAGTCAAGAGGGTGATTGAAAAGACGTCCAGGCTGCAGATTTGTAGGCACTGTCGAGTGGAAGAATGGAGGGGAGGGGAGGGGAGGGGAGGGAAGAGAAGTGGTCTTCTGGCTTGTCGGAGGTGAGGGCTGGTCAGGCTCGGGAGCGAGAATGGCGAAGGTGTTCCCGAGACCCTGACCTGCCCAAGTTTGTGCTCATTTGCCCACGCAAAGTTCCGTGTGGCTGCCGAGTTCGAATTTTTGGCCCGCGCTGCTCCACAGCAAGACTCCTTACTGGGGATCAAGCCCACGAACATTTCGGATTACTGCCATGCCAACAGGCATTTCAAAGACTGCCCTGAACAATGCTTGAACGGACCCTGAAAAGTTTTTTGACCACGCTACGTACGACGGGGTCGGCGAAATTTGAGCTCGCAAGGAGCGACAACCTCGGGGGAAGCCAGTCAACACCAGTGTTTGACTACGGATGCTGGTAAACCGTACTCACAACCGTTATAAATCTCAGTACCGTACTGAAATGTTTTTAATTGTGTTACCCCGAAAGCTTCGCATATGAAGCCTGGCCTGAACTTTGGTGCCGAACCTCCTCGCCTTGCTATCCCGCAAAAGTCGAATTCATGTTTAGAGGTTCTCGGTTAGTGCAGCTTCACTTTTCCAGTTATTTTAATTAGTGTCATCTCATCTCCCATAACAGATGCTAACTTGCAACCACTATTGCATATTACTATGAATGAATTGAATTTAACTAGGATGGAAACACCTGCATACATGCCTACGTATATAAAAAACCCAATCCTAATCCATATAGCATGCAGCAACCAGAGCTCTTTCTAACACCTCACCAGAGAGTAGCATGCAGTGACAAAACATGTTTGGTAAACCAGTTTTATAATCATTGGCAAGGCAGAGGTGCCTGAGTTGGTTTGCGAGCTGGAGCTGGGGCAGCCCTCTCTAGTCTTTTGAGTCGACTCACATATTACCTCCCAGTGGTGTAGAGTATTATGCATCAGGGAAGAGGCGCCTGAGTTGGTCCACAGTGGTGGGGTGGTGGGTGATGGGGCAGCGACCAAACTGGAGAGCGACGATGCGAGGGGATGGTGGAGAGGGGAGAGGAGAGGGAAGATGAGACGGGAGATGAGAGGGGAGAGGATGGTGGAGGGGTAGCAGATGCAGGGGTAGCAGAAGATGAAGCCAGAGGTACAGCCTTGGTTACAGGGTTACCAACCTTATCCACGTAGGCGAAGATGCAGGGGTAGCAGAAGATGAAGCCGGAGGTGGCAGGGGCGGTGGGGTTGGTGCGACGGCACAGGCAGAGTGGACACAGGGAGCGATCAGAGGGCACTGGGATGCCTGCAGGGGCCACCTGGAGGGGTGACAGGAGGAAGTTAAACAGGAAAGGGTCGTACAGGAATGGGTTGTATGGGAGCGGCAACAAAGGCAGAGGGAGACACAAGAAGCGATCGGCAGGTACTGGGATGCCTGCAGGGGCCACAGGTAGGGATGAGGGCGGAAAGGGGAAAGGGGAAACAGTAAAAGGGTTGAACCGGAACAAGTTACAGACAAACGGGTTACAGGAGAATGGCTGAGCTTACTCTGTCGTAATATGTACACGCACCACATTCTTTGAAAAATGAACTTGCCTTGGGGGGTAGGGGGGGCGGTGGCGGAGGGTACACAGTTGGCGCACTGAGCTTCTGCTCGCCTGTCTGGTACCACCACTCGGCCATCTGATGGGGTTGTGAACGAATGGAGGAAAGCATGGATGACAGAGTGCCGTCAGCAGAAATACTGAAATTGGTACGGCAGCAAGACGCGCTACAATTTTGCTCGGCATTTAGTGGGGACATGCCATGTGGTGGTATCCAAGCAAAGGCATGAGACACCTTGAACTTAATTAAAAGCCGCGTACCTTGAAGGCAAAGACAGCAGCAATAACGGACGTCTGCGCATAGTCCATTGTGAAATAGAGGGCCTTGAGTAGCGCTGCTTGCACGGCCTGCAAGGAGAGTAGCAGGGAGGGGAGATGCAGCAGTGAAAAGAAATGAGAGCAGTAGCAGCAGCAGCAGTGGTGATGAAGGCAATAACGGACGTCTGCGCATAGTCCATTGTGAAATAGAGGGCCTTGAGTAGCGCTGCTTGCATGGCCTGCAAGGAGAGTAGCAGGGAGGGGAGATGCAGCAGTGAAAAGAAATGAGAGCAGTAGCAGCAGCAGCAGTGGTGATGAAGGCAATAACGGACGTCTGCGCATAGTCCATGGTGAAATAGAGGGCTTTAAGAAGCGCTGCTTGCACGGCCTGGTTTGGATGGGAGTGGGGGCGAGGGACGGGTGGGACGAAGCTTCGGCAGTGAGAGGAGAAGCTCCGCTCACAACTGCTGCGGTTGGCTTCGTTGTCACTGCATCCCCTGCGTCCCTCCCTTCTGCTTGCTTGGTCTGGATGGGGAGAGGGGAAGACTGAGGCAAACGAGTGAGCGTCGGAGGGAGGAGCGAGGAGAAAAGCGGTGAAGGAGGTCTGATCAAGAAGCATAAATGGCCTATCAACCCTGTCCCCTCACTCCTGTTGCAGAAAAAAACCCAATACCACA